AGAGGGACGGCCAGAGGTAGGGAATGGGGAAAATGGTTACTGGCAGAGCTGGTGGTGTATTGGTAATGTCACTAGGAATCTAGAACCCTAGGCTAATGATCTGGGGACAAGGGTTTAAACCCCATGATGGGGACTGGTGAAATTTGAATCTGAAAGCTAACCCAATTACACCCATGTAACCACTCTCAATTGTCATTAAAAACCCATCTAATTCGCTAAGAGAATATAGAACAGTACAGCACAGGAACAGGCCCTTCAGCACACTACGTCTGAGCCAACCATGATGGAATTCTAAACTACTCCTATCTACCTACACATGGTCCATATCTCTCTATTCTCTGCCTGTTCAAGTGTCTGTCTAAATGCCTGTTAAATGTTGCTATTGTCTCTGTTTCTACCATCTCCCCTGGCAGCGCGTTCCGGGCACTTACCATCCCCCGCTTAAAAAACTTGCACATCTCCTTTAAACTTTCCCCCACTCAGCATAAACATCTGCCCCCACCCCCACGCCGTATTTGACATTTCCATCTTGGGGAAAAATTTTATAAACTTCTATCAGGTCACCCCTCAGACTCTGACACTCTAGTGAAAACAATCCAAATTTGTCCAACCTCTCCTTATAGCTAATACACTCCAATCCTGGAAACATACTGGAAAACCTCATTTGCACCCTCTCCAAAGCCTCCACATCCTTCCAATAGTATGGGGACCAGAACTGTACACAATGTTCCAAAGGTGGCCAAACTAGTGTTTCATAATGCTGCAACATGGCTTGCCAACTTTTATCGTCAATGCCCCGGTCGATAAAGGCAGGCATGACATCTGCCTTCTTTATCACCTTATCCACTTGTGTGGCCAATTTCAGGGAACTATAAGGGTCCTGCCATTTACTGTATACTTTCCTCTTGCATTTGACCTCCCAAAATACATCACCTCATACTTGTCACATTCCATCTGCCATTTCTCTGCCCAACTTTCCAATTGATCTCTATCCTGCAGTATTCTTTGGCAAGCTTTCTCACTATCCACAACGCCATCAATTTTTGTATTGTCTGAAAATTTACTAATTGGACCATCTACATTTTCATTCAGATCATTTACATATATTATAAATAACAAAGGTCCCGGCACTGATCCTTGTAGAATACCACTTCATAGATCTTAAGTCAGAAGAACATCCCTCCACAACTACCCTCTGTTTCTATGACTAAGCCAGTTTTGTATCCAACTTACCAACTCACCATGGATCCCATGTGACTTAATCTTCTGGACGAGCCTACCATGAGGGACCTTGTCAAATGCATGTAAAGTCCATGTAGACAACATCCACTGTCCTACCCTCATCAATTGTCCTCATCATTTCCTCAAAAAACAGAATCAAATCTGTGAGACAAGACCTCCCCGCACAAAGCCATGCTGACTGTTGCTAATGTGAGTAAATTCTGTCCCTAAGAATCTTCTCCAATAATTTCTTTACCACTGATGTAAGGCCTATAATTTCCTGGATTATCCCTGTTGCCCTTCTTAAAAAAAAGGATCAACCCTGACTATTCTCCAGTCTTCTGGGACCTCACCGACAGCTAAAGAGGATACAAACATCTCTGTCGTCTCCAGCAATCTTCTCCCTTGCCTCACTCTGTATCCTGGGATAGACCTCATCAGACACTTATCAACCTTAATGTTTTACAAGACACCCAGCAGCTCCTTCTTCTTAATATCAACATATCCTAGAATATCAACATACTCCTCCCTACAACCTAACATGTCAGTTAGTTAAGGAAATCTGCTGTCCTTAATTGGTCAGGCCTACATGTGATTGCAGACTCATAGCAATGTGGTTGACCTTTAACCGACCTTTGGGCAATAAATGCTGGCCCGGCTAATGACAGCCTCATCCCATGAACAAATTTAAAAAAAAATCAATCCACTCCTTTCAATCATTGTCTTGGTTCATCGTGTAATGTTCTTTATCAGGCAGCATAGTACACACACACACGGAGTAAGGGCTAAGTGCCTAATCCCACAGTTCTTTGTTCATCTGGCAAAGAAGAGACTTTTAACACCACAAATGGCAAATGTGAGACCCTTTCAGAGACCATCCCAAACTAAATGGATTAGGAATCCCAGCTGTAACCCTGACATGGACTTTGTCTAAATTTACACATCTGCACAGTCAGGAACCCATGGGCCAAGAAATCTCTTGCCAAGTTGTCTCTATTCAACTATCAGCTTTGCTTGTTTTCACTCTGTTTGGATGCCAATCAACAGTTCACCCAGGAAAAAAGGAAAGGACTGCCGATGCTGGAGATCTGAAATGGAAACAGAGAGTACTGGAAAAGCTCAGCAACATCTGTGGAGAGAGAAATAGTTAATACTTCAAGTTGAATATGACTTTTTCAGAACCAAAGAATAATATCAGATTTGAGATGTCATCTTTGTTTCTCTCCATAGATGATGCCAGACCTGCTGGGTTTAACCTAGAAACATTTGGGTAGAGATCATGAGGCCATTCTTGCAGTCTGACTGTAATTGTCAAGATTCCCAGTGACAGAACAACACAGGGTCTCACCTGAAGGAGAGACTGTCAATGGGTTCAATGCAGAAAGACACTTGGTCTTAGACCTGTTTTGTTTTCTTTGTAGTTGCAAACTGAAACAAAGTCATGTACACACTTCTAAAACACACTAAATTCTGGAACACAATGATTTCCAATCAGTAGGCTCCGAATATTGGGAGTAGAGTCCATTTGGTCACCGTGTGTGAATAAACTGGTAAGGACAATCAGGACAGTTCCTGGTAAGACCACAGGTTTGTTCTTTGCAAATGCTTTTGAAAAATTTTCTGGAAATGGTGTTGATGCAGAGCCCTCCTGCTACATTTATAAAGTTATTTTCAAGTCGCAACTGAAGGAAATCTCCCCTACCACTACACCCCTCAACCTCACCCCGTTAGGGATGATAGGGGTGTTAAAGGGGATAGTGTCCTAACGGTTGATCAACTGTTTTGTAACATCCCCAAGAATATGAGACCTGTTAAATTTAATCTAGGCCAAACACATCATTGACCTCTTCTCCCAGCTTAGAACCTGGAGCAGGGGGAGGCTAATCAGCTCAAACCTGCTGCACCAATTCAATATGACTACGGCTGATCCTCTGCATTGACTTGCACTATTCCTGAGTCCTTTGGTTCCCATCATTTTTTTTTCCTTTATTCATTCATGGGATGAGGGTGTCGCTGACCAGGCAGCATTTATTGCTCATCCATAATTGACCAGAGGGCAGTTGAGAGTCAACCACATTGCTGTGGGTCTGGAGTCACGTGTAGACCAGACTGGGTAAGGATAACAGATTTCCTTCCCTGAAGGACATTAGTGAACCAGATGGGTTTTTCCAACAATCGACAATGGGTTCTTGGTCATCATTTAGATTCTTAATTCCAGATATTTTATTGAATTCAAATTCAAACTCAGGTCCCCAGAACTCTATCTAGGTCTCTGGATTAACAGTCCAGCAATAATACCTCTAGGCTGTTGCCTTCATATCCAAAAATCTATCAGTCCCTGTCTCGAATAGAATCAACAATTGAGCACCCAGAGCCCGTGAGAGAATTCCAAAGGCCACAACTCTCTAAGTGAAGAGATTTCTTTGACCCACACCACAAGACTATGAGCCCCTGGTTCGAGAGTCGTCAACCCTGGGAAACACGGAAAGTAATTTCGATAGCACTAAGGGTGCAGCTCAACATTTGCTGCTGGACCAAGTACCAAAGCTCCGTGGAATCAGTTGGAGTATTGACTAACAGACAGAAAACAGACTAGAAATAACTAAGTCATTTTCTCACTGGCAGACTGTAACTAGTGGGGTACTGCAAGGTTCAGTACTTGGGCTTCAGCTGGTCACAATATATATCAATGGTACGGTGATGGGGACCAAATGTAATATTTCTAAACTTTCAAATGAAACAAAGCTAAATGGGACTATCTGTTGTGAGGAAGATGTAAAGTGGCTTCAGGAGAATTTGGACAGGCTTAGCGAATGGGCAAGAATGTGCCAGATGGAATCTCATGTGGAAAAATGTGAGATTATCCACTTTGGTAACAGAAACAGATATGCAGAGATTTTCCTAAGTGGTAAGAGGTTGGAAAGGTTAGATTATATGAAGGGTCCTAGATGTCCTTGTTAACAAGTCACTGAAGATGAACACGCGGTGCAGCAAGCTATTAGGAAGTCTAATGGGATGATATCTTTACAACAAGAGGATTTGAGTGCAGGGGTGACGTCTTGCTTCAGTTGTGTGGGAGTTTGGTTAGACCTCATCGGGAATATTGCAGTTTTGGTCTCCTTATCCCAAGGAAGATATATATTATTACCACAGAGGTAATGCAACCAAACTTGGTGCTGGGATGGTGGAGCTGTCTGATAAAGAGAAACTGGGCCTGTAGTCTCTAGAGTCTCAAAAAATGAGAGGTGACTTCATTGAAACTTACAAAATATTTGAGAAGATTGTGAACCTTTGGAACTCTCTACCACAGAGGGCTGTGGAAACTCAGTCTTTGAGTATGTTTAAAGTACAGGTTGATAGATTTCTGATTATTAGTGGCATACAGGATTACAATAATGAGATGGGTAAAAAACATTGATGTGTTTGATCAACTTTAATCATGTTGAATAGTAGGGCAGTTTCGTTGGGCTAAATGGCGTAGTCCTGTTCCAAACTGCAGGACACACTCTGATGTCTTACACATTTCATTACAGCCATGTGCACTGTCATCCCCTGTGCCACAGCAGCTGGTTACATGGGCCACAGTGCAAGATCTGGGAATACCTGTACACAGAAATGTCTGACATTCATCCATTAATAGCTAGGATGTCCACTGATTCAGGACACCAGAGAATACTGATTTAATTCACAGTCATACATCAGAATAAAAAAGGTATAGCTAAAGATATAGACCTGGGAGTTTCATTGAATCAGCCTTGTTCTTACTCCCTTATTTGCAGGTTCTCTGGCAGTCAGCAATGTGGACACATTCACTGTGCCTATCAGTACAGAGAGCACTACCACTGTCTGGATCCTGAGTGCAATTACCAGGTACTGTAACCATCTCAGGACATAAGTTTAACAACACCAGGTTACCTCTGTTTGTTCATCCATTCTAAAATATGTTAAAAATAACATTTTTCATACATTTGTCCTCATGTTTTGGTATCCTATACATTAAAAAAAAGTGACAAGTACAGCACGAATGAATTTGACTGATTGCGGAGTTTACAAACACAGGGAGAAACTCAGCGGGTCTGGCAGCAACTGTGGAGAGAGAAACAGAGTTAACATTTAGAGTCTGATATGATCCTTGGTTGGTACGGCTTCGTGCTTTCTTGTGTTGGCAGTATTCCCAGCACCTCCCTGTTACACTCTGAATGAAACAAGGAACTTCAGATACTGGAGATCTGAAACAACAAATAAAGAAATTGCTGAAGAAACTCAGCAGTTTGGCAATATCTGTGGGGAGAGAAACAGAGTTAACGTTTCAGGTCAAGAATCTTTAGTAAATAGCTTGGACAAGGTAGAACTGTAATAGGCTTTAAGAAACCAAAGAGAAAAATGGAAATCCTGTTGGGAAGGACAGCAGAGCTTCTTCAGGGTGAACCTCATTAGAAGGTTCAAGAACCACTTATCAAGGCCAGTTAGGGATGGGCAATAACTGCTAGTCCAGCTGGTGATGCCCATATCCTACGAATGAATAAAAAACAAAAAGAAGTGGCAGTAAATTGGAGATTAGTAGCAGGGGACAGTTAGCTTGGATGCAAAGTGATGCCAACAGCATGGGGTTCAATTCCTGCACTGGCTGAAGTCACCATGAAGGACTCTTCTTCTAAACCTCTTCCCTTACCTTAGGTGTGGTGACCCTCAGGTTAAACTACCATCAGTCGTCTCTTTCTAATGAGAGAACAATCTGTGGGACAATGGTGACTTTACCTTTACAGAAGCAAATCCTGCAGATTCTGGAAATCTGAGATTTTCTGTGTTCCCAGAATTTCCTGTTTTAACTTCGGATTTCCAGCATCTGCTGCCTTTTGCTTTTGTATTTTTGTTTGAACGAGGAATTAACCTCAGGTTGAAGAGTTCCTTGTGGAACAGTGGAATTCTCTCGGGCTTCCAGTGAGGAGAAGGGAGAGGGGGTCCAGTTCCATGATAGGAAACGTGGCGGTTAAATGGACCACAGCACCCATAAATGCATAGACTGTAAACATGTTAGCTAACCCCTGCACTGCTGGTGCAAATTATGGTGTGAAGTCATTAATGAGACAAGTCAACCCTGAATTGGTCCTTCATCGCTCAGTGAGAGCAACGTCTCAATTGGATGAGACTCAGGGGAAGATCCTTCTCCATGCAGTGTTCCCACAACCTGTTCGAACCTGGAGGCAGACTGGAAAATCCCAGTGGAACTCTTCCTGAATCCTTCATCGTCTCCAATGGCATGAAGGCAGGATAAAGCCAATGAAATGGTCAATACACAAGCCGCCTGTTATTTTTAATGTTACCCCAACCCCTGTCTAAGGCCCGCTCCTGATTTTGAATATGAATCGATATTATAGTTCAGGGTTAAGTAGCTAATTTGCTCAGGGCAATTCAGGAGACAGAAGTAAAGTTAGTTAGAGAGTGGGTGTCTCAATGTAGAGTTAGGAAGCGAATGAGGTGCTGCAGGATCAGCAGTGATTGGAGGATACCTTTCCACATTGTTCCAAGAAATAAATAACTGCCATGCAATCAACAGGAACCCCTCTTCTCGAACAGATTTCCTTCCCCAATCTCCCGGGAAGCCCATGTTGGGCATTTGTGTTGAGGCTGGGGTTCTACGTAGCCATCTCTCCATCTTTGAACCTTTGTAATGTTTAGTGGTGAAAGGCACAAGACTGAAACACTGTGCTGGAAGACAAGGGGCAAATACCCAAAGGTTCCCAGGCTGGGGGGAGAGCGCAGAGGCAAAATCAATAGCCACCACCCAACCTGCTAACCCCTTGGCTAAATCAGTGGCTGTCCCTCGAGGGGAATAGTTTATTATCCCTGGGGTTTACTCACATCATTTGTATTGGTCTTAATCTGGGAACACTTGAGAACAGAATCGTGTTAGGAATGTGTTGATTTTGTGGAATATAGGAAAAATCCAAGGTCTCTGTGAGCTTTTTGCAGAGGTTTGGTGGGAGGAGTTGGGCCCAGGAAGTTCTAATTTTCCTTTCCCCTGACCATTCCCTACCTTCCCTCCCCATTCCCTCAGTGCTGGTTTCTGGTGGGATGAGTGGTGGCAGTGAGTTAGTCTGGGAACAGTAACAGGGATGCAGGTCTTGCTCCAATACCGGGTACAGTGGTACCGCTGAAGCAGCTCAGTCTGAACAGCAGCCCGATAAGCTCGGAATGCAGCTTCCCCGGCCCCTGTGCTACATTAACAATTCCATGTAACTCATTTTCCCATGCAGTGCTTAACATTTGCAAGAACAAAATAAATTAATCAATTTCTAAAAAAAAGTGCAAACCAGATTTACCTCCTGTAATATCTTGCAGCTTTTATTTATTGTTGATGATAGTGCTGTGATTTCTATCACATGGGGGCTTTTTCTTTCCATTAAAAATCATTGCCTTGGTGCCAGCTGGCTACAATCCTTGTTTACTGTTGCCACCGTCAGTCTCACCATCTGTTGCCATTTTTGTGAAGCACATCCCTCTCCTTACAGACTGAATTAAAAAATTTAAATTAAATATTGACTAAATTCTAGAATGGGGATAAATCTGAATGCATGACAAATTATTGGGAACGTTCAAAATCAGAATTTCCTCTTTCTCTCATTTTCTTTATCATACATTATTTCTCTCTATGTCTCATTCTGTTTTGCTCACATTCCCTCTATTTCTCATTCTGTCTGGTTTAGTCACAATCCCTCTCACACTGTCTGTCCAACATTCTCTCTTTCGCTCACATTCCTTCCATCTCTCAAATCTGTCTCTTTCACTCACATTCCTTCTCAATCTTTTTCACATTCTTTCTCTCTCATTCTACCTGTCTCTCTACCCTCTCTTATTCTCTTTATCCCCCCTCATTCTCTCTATCACTCTATTGCTTCCGCTGCATTCCTCCTCTGAAACAGTATGCATTCTGCCATCTTCCTTTGCAGTTCAGATATCAGTTGAAGTTCACGTGGCAAGTTAAGTTAAATGAAGCAGCTAATGCAGCAATGTGCTGCAGTAACCAGCAATTAAACACTACACTGTATTCAACTGGGCAGCAAGTATTACAGGTAGTTCTGCTATAATGCGTGTTCCGTTAGCACGAATTGGCTGTAACACAATTGATGAATAGTAGACACTGTTTGGATAACGCAAACTTTCTGCTGTACAGGTGACTTAGCGACTTCCCTATAACGCCTGGCGCAATATCACAGAAGAACGCAACTATCGCGTTATAGGAGGGTTACTTGCATAATGGGAGATATTGGTGTCCCTCTACATGGCTATTTATTTTGCTTCAGGTATAGTTCCCGGCCTGTGTTGAGTTCGTTGACCTCAGGGTTTCTCTCAGAGTACCCTGCTCCTCCGTTGACCAGATGCTGAAGCAGTCGGGTTTGTTTGAGATCCCTGCACTTACTCGAATGGCCTGCAGAAAGAGGAAGGGGAAAATCTAGTTTAAAAGTCAGTCCAGGCCTAGAATATCCTTCAAAGCAATGCTTGGAATGCGATCCAACCCCACTATTCAGCGAAATCCTTGAGAGAAATTTCAGATCATCAGTGAAAGAAGACAAATAACAATGAGTTTCGAGCAAAAGCCAGAGGTTTATCTGAGAGGCAGTGTGAATATGTCCTGACAGTAAAAACTGAAAGTGGCAACAGAAACTTTCAGATTATTTAATTTTCCTCTGTTTGATAGCATTAGGTAATGTCAAATAAATAGACTCTCAGCTTTCTTAAACTGGCAGACAAAGCAACTGCATCAATATTTAGAACAGTTCAGAAGAGGCAGAGGTAATTTATTGGGAACATATAAGATCACGAGGGGACTTGACTGGTTGGATGTGGAATAGATGTTTCCTCTCATGGAAGAAATTTCAACTAGACGCCATGGTTTAAAATTAAAGGTCACCCGTGTAAAACAGACGAGAGAAGAAAAATCTGAGGGTTGAGAGTCTTTGGAATTCCCTTTCTCAGAAGGCAGTGGATGCAGTATCTTTAAATATTTTTAAGGCAGAGGGAGATAAGATTCTTGATGACCAAGCAGGATGGAAGATTATCAGAGATATGAAGGAATGTGGAGTTGGGGTTAAAATCAGATCAGCAATGATTTTATGGAATGGCAAAGCAGGCTCAAAGGGCCGAATGGCTGCTCTTTTTCCTTGATCATATGTTCATAATGTTACCTTCAATAATATCACACAGAGTAATTTTAACCCCCGAACTCTTCTGCTATTAGGTACAGTTTGGATAGATTTCTCTTTGTGTGTAGGCCACCTCACAGCTCTTCAAGTCTAACTCCAAGTTGGAGCGCGCGTGTGCAGCCCCCTGTGTTTGTGTATCGTTTAGGCAGATTTCTTCAATTCCTGCTGCAAACTTTCAGAGGCATTCAGGGTTAACACAGCTGATGTTCCAAACATTACAAACATCGAGATGAGTGCCCACTGTCAGATCTGCAGATTTTAGAGCGGGATGAAAGGTTAATTCAATTGGAGGTGCTTGAGAAACCAATTCTGGAGAATGGAGTTCTGACTGAGAAGTGGATAAACCTGGTTGCTCCAACTCATAACATCAGCTTGCCCCATGGGCAAGATTGTACCAGTACAAACTAGTTAAAAGCATTAAATTTTACCCTGTAGACAAAGAAAGAATTAACATTGAGTCCAATATGACTCTTCTTCAGAAGAAGACAGTTCCAAAGAAGAGTCACACTGGACTCCAAACGTTAACTCTGTTTCTCTCTCCACAGATTCAGCCAGACCTGTTGAATTTCTCCAGCATTCTCTGTGTTTGTTTCAGATATCCAGCTTCTACAGTTTGTTGTTTTTATTCAAATTTATCCTGCAGATTAATGAACATGGAGAGATAATGAGCCCTGGACCAGTCAGCCTATTGTAAACACATATAATAGAGACACTGGCTATTCCATCCAAAAATCCATGCGGTCTCCTGGGATCCAGGAGAAATCCTCACAATTCCTGATCCCAGTCCTGGCTCCAAGATGGTCAAAATCTGACCATTTCCACAGTGAGAGGGGAGAGAATAAGGAAGCCTGCACCCACAGGTGACCTGAGGTACCTTGGACACTCGCTGGCAGGGGCACAGTGGGCAGGGTGTGGGTAGGTAGCCTCTCTGTCACTTACCTGCTCCTATCAGAGAACTTGGGTGAGTGAGAAGCCTATTATTTAGTAGGCTAGGCTTAAAGAAAATGCTTTCCTTTCACAAGGTAAAATCAAACGAGTCAGCAGAAGAAATGCCATCCACCGACACTTAAAGCTTGAAATGGACTTTAAATTATGGAAACATTAAAAACAGTTAAGCTTTTACAAGCAAACTGTTATGACATAAGGGATAACTTAGACAACTGTAAAGTGTTATCTAATAGCTGGTGTACAGACATTTCTATCCCCTACCTGTGGTATAAAGAGAACTATAAAGGGAGTTCAGTGTTTCTGCTGGGGGTTTCTGTGTTTCAAACTGCTATTCATTATGGTCTTGGTTGGCAATAATTTATTTCATAGTTTTACTTGGCATTACACCCAATTTCACAGCCACTCCACATCCCCCTACTTTCTGCTGCCCTGCCTGACACAAGTTAGCAAGATCCCCTTTAAGCCGCACACCATTCTGACTTGAAAAGACAGCACCGTTCGTTCAGTTCAAAATCCTGGAACTCCTTCCCAATGGCACTGTGTGTCCGTACACCAGGACTGCAGGATTCGAGAAGTCGGCTCCCCACCACCTTTGCTGTGGCAGTTAGGGACGGGCAATAAATACTGGTCCAGCCAGTGATGTCCACACCCAATGAATAATGAAAGGAATGTTCAGCTGGGCCACAGTTGGAGTGAACAGCTGCTGCCCCCATGGCAAGGGATGAAATTCCCAAAAAAAATGAGATAATGAATAATAACACCTTAAACGGAGCAGAAAATAAGGAATCAAATGGTGACGGTGAAATAGAAAAAAGGCACACTTACCTCAGAAACCTGGAGTTCACCCAATCCTCAATGTGGAATTTATCTTAATGAATTTGCCAATAGATACTACTTTGAAAAAAAAGAGGCTCACTGCGAAATGTTTTCATGAAGCAAGTCAAGGTCAAAAAAGCTGGTGAAAGCAAATTGATCAATAGCTTGAATACTTGAATCAGAAAGTATTTGCTGCACCAGGAGGTGAAAGGGGACTCATGTTTCCAATGAGCCAGCATAAGAATAATGGCCTGAATGGTCCTTCTTTCTGTGCTGTAAGAAGATGATAGACCTGTAATTCTACAGTAATGCCCTTCCTTTACCTAAGGCATGGACTCTGTCCACATAAACACGGAGCAAGAAGTGACTGAAGAATGAGACAAAATTCAGACTTTAAATGGCGAAAGTAAGTTTTGAATGTGAATTTGATGGAGGGAGACAACAGAATAAGAGCCCAGAAGGAATGCTGCTGGTCCCCGGAGTTCATGGAAAATGAACTAAGTTACAGAATTCATTTGCCCAGATCACTGAATTCAACTTCAAAATTATAAAACATCATTCCCAAATTACAACATACAACTCACCCCCATTACAGAATGTCATCCATACACATTCTCGGCTATAAAATCTCAGAATCACACTGACAAACAACAGACCTTAACCTTATCCAGACGCGAGTAACCACTGCCCTGAATTGGAAATGAACAAATTGGAGGTTGTGAATCCTATGTTTTAGCACCCAAGTTTGAATTATTCAATCTCCATAAAACTGTGGCTCTACCTCCCCAAAAATGATGATTTCAGCAGGTTGTCATGATGAGTGATGCCATTGTCTAATGCTGCAAGTGATGTTCAGATAGCAGCTACATGGAGCAGTATGTGCAATGATCTGCACAAGCTGAAGCAGAGTGGGGACATTAGGATGAGGAAGAGGCCATTCAGCCCATTGTGTCTGCTCCACCATTGATTGAGATCATGGCTGATCAGTTAATCCTCAACTCCTCTTTCCTGTCTTTTTTTCCATAATCCCTAATACCCTTAATGATTAAAAATCTGCCTATCTCAGCCTTGAATATACTTAATGATCTAGCCTTGACAGCCCTCAACAGTAAAGAAATCCACAGATTTACTACCCTCTAAGTGAAGAAATTCCTCTTCATCTTTGTCTTAAATGTGCTACCCCTTATTCTGAGATTATATTGTTTGGTCCTAGACTGTCTCACAGGGGGAAACAACCTTTCCGCATCTACTCTATCAAGTCCCCTAAGAATCTTGAATGTTTTAATAAGGTTGCTTCTCATTCTTCTATATTCAAAGATTACAGGCCCAATCTATTCAACCTCTCCTCATAAGACAGTTAGATTGCAACTGACCTGTATCTCAACTCCATTTCACTGCCTGCGCCCCATATCCCTTGATCCCCACAAATGGCCCTTAACTAACAAGAATCTATTTCCCTTTTGTTATTTTGACAGAGGTTTACCAGTAAACAGGATGTGATACGACACTACAACATGCACAAGAAGAGAGATAACTCCCTGCAACATGGTTTCATGCGCTTCAGCCCCTTGGATGACTGCAGTGTCTACTACCATGGCTGCCACCTTAATGGAAAGAGCACGCACTACCATTGCATGCAGGTAACCCTCTCAGCTGCCTGCTGCTTTAGACTGAGTGCAGTGATGATATACTGTCTTACTGCCATTCAGTCATTCACTGCTGGGTAATGTGTGTTTCATGACATGTGTGTATGCGTGCATATGTGCCTGTATGAGACCAGTGGAACCCAACCCCATAGCGGAGACATTGGTGCAGTCACTGGGATAGCAATCCAGAGACCCAGGCTATTGCTGTAGGGAAATAAAACAAAAAATTATGGATGCTGGAAATCTAAAAAAGAGTCTGCTCTATGGACATAGGTACAAATCACACCATAGTAGAACTCAGTCATTACAATTATATTTAGTTAATAAATTTGGAATCCGTAGCTAGTCATCACAGATGATGACCACAAAACTATTATTGATTGTCATAAAAACCCATCCAGTTCACTAATGACCTTTAAAGATGGAAAATCTGGCCAACATGTGACTCTAGACCCATAGCAATGTGGTTGACCCTTAACTGCCCTCTGCAATGGGCTGAGCAGAACATTCAGATAAAGGGCCGTTAGGGGTGGGAAACTTATGCCAGCCTTGCCAATGATGCCCATATCCCATGAGAGAATTTTTTTAAAAATTGGTGAAGTTAGTCCGAGCAGGATTACCAGCTTCAGTGGAGGATGTCAAGAAGTACACAGCGTTAGCAGAAAAGAAATCTGCTTGCTGTGTTGTTTCAAAATTTGTTTATTAACAAGCTGACATGCATACCTGTCCCTGTAACGCATTTCTGAAATGGATAGTGTTAAATCTGCTTTTTTTATTTCAGACATAAAACAAATTGAAAGGTATCCTCAGTGCCCTGTAGCTGGATGAGCAGTATCCAAGTTGGCTTAGGAATCAAACAGTTGTTTTGTTAGAAAAAAGGATACAAAAGAAGGAGAAGGCCATTCAGCCCCTCAAGCCTGCACTGGCATTCATTATAGTCTTGGATGATTTTTGGTTTCGCTTTCTTGCCTGCTCCCCCTATCCCTTGATTCCCCAAGAAACTAAAAATCAATGATGGAGGACGCACAAGCCTGTATGGTAGAGATTTGCAAAGCTTTGCAACCTTTTGAGTGAAGTAATTGCTCCTCATCTCAATCCTAACTGATCACCCCTGATCTTGAGACTCTGCCCCTATACTTTAGATTCCAAGCCAGACTGAAACAACCTCGCCAATGTTGACCCTTTGGAGCCCTTTCAGAACCTTCTGTTTCAATGAAAACAATTCTCTCATGTCTGAGGCCCAGTTTACTCTTGGAATGATGCAGAAAGCTCCAAGCAGCATAGCCCTGGGTCACAGGTCTCCCAGCTTTACACTCTGAGAGGCGAGGCAGCTTTCTGAGAGTCTGGGTGAACATTGGGACTGCATCGTTAGTGAAGGAAGGAAATGTTTGGAACAGGAGCTGGACAAGAATGAAGACGGCAGCAGTCTGGCTGGGAAGCACAAGGCTAGCAAAACCCCTGGAAGTCACATTGCTCATCAGTGCTGACTGAGCACGGCTGAACAGACTGAACACTTACAAGGGACATTTAAAAGATACATCCTTCCTCTCAAAAGAGAAACAAGAACAAAGCTTCTAACAAATGGGGTTTTAAAAAAAAAAGCTGAAATCTCACTAATACTACAGCCTGCTATAATTCCAGCAAGGCTGCACTTCTTGCAAGTTTTTCAGTCTTTCACACTCACGACACATCCGCACTTGTTCAATTCCCAGAGTGCGATATCCTCAATGAGCTCTGCAGAGGCTCCCTGAGCCCAATCTGCTGCAGGAAATGCTTTTCCTGCCTTCAGTCGCATGTTGTCATTCAGGAGCAGTTTCTGCTCATTTGTGATATTGTTTGAGGCTAATTTTAGCTCTGGGCTGGGGAATGTGCAGTTAAAATAATGCAAGCGAGGAGACTTCTGCCCAAAATAAATCCTCCTGGTCTTTCTCAAGAGGGAGAGGTCAAGTTCAAACAATGAGGATTTGAAATAAGGGATTTAGATTACTCAGAATCGACAGTACAATTTTTAGGGAGTGTTGAACTCAATTTTGAACAAAGCAAATTGTTTCAGATATTGGGTGAGATGTTGATTAAACCTGCAAATCTTTTAAAAAGAAAGTGGTATTTGAAACTCCAGCTTTTGCTGTCTGTAATGTTCAGTTTGAATCTGACCTGCCATTTCCCCATCACACCCCTCCCTCCAATCCCACAGAAAACAAAACAAAGGGCAGGAAGGACTAATGAATGTGGTTAAGGGAGGAATGTTAGTCAAGACATTGAATAATCTTACAACTTCTCTCTGGAATCTGCCACCAGCCCCTTCACATCTATCTGAACAAACAGACAGGAGCTCAGTCGAAAGTCCTATCTCAAAGCCACCACCTTCAGACAATACAGAAATGAATCAGCATTGGCCAAACCTCAGCATGTGTGTTCAAAACGGTTTTGGGCCAATTTTAGCCCTGTCCACCCAGTTGTAATGTCTGCCATTTACAAGATACTCTGGAGCAACTCACCAAGGCTCCTTAGAAAGCATCTTTCAAATCTATAACTTTGACCATCGAGAAGAATGAGGGCAGCAGATACATGGGAACACCACCACCTGCAAGATCCCCTCCAAGCCACCCACCATCCTGACTTGGAAATATATCACAGTTCCTTCAATGTTGCGGGGTCAAACTCCTGGAATTCCCTCCCTAAGGGCATTGTGGGTCTACTACAGCACAAGGACTGCAGCGTTCAAGAAGGCAGCTCAAGAGCATCTTCTCAAGAGCAACAAGGGATATGCAAAGAATACTGGCCCAGCCAGTGATGCCCACATCCTATCAATGAATTTTTAAAAAATGGTTCTGACAGTGGAATGCTGCATCTCCTGCACCTACCCAGGCAGCCAGCTTTCTTCCCAGTGACACCCATAAGACCAGTCCAGGGGCCCAGCTGAAGCCAGCTCATAGCTTTATGGAGCATATATTCCTGTGAGACCCACAGGATTGCAAAAATTCCAACATGGAGAAATGAACAGACCACATGTGCACCACAGCAGAGGAAAAGTGACCTAACCCGAGTTTCTTAAAGAGGTGGCTGCAGGTTGCTGACACATTTGCCCGGGAAATATCCCAGATCGTCGAGGGTGTAGCTCAGGGTAGAAGGACTGATTCCTCCCCCTGCCTTCAATCCCCACCATGCTGACAAGAACACACGGCTGATGGGTGCTATCCGTCAGGGATTAAAGTCATCCCTGTTGCCAACGCAACAGCAACTTGCCTCATGCCTATGATCCATAAAAATATCTCCCCCACCCTGCCAAGAGTGGCTGTCATTCAGAATTTGAAGGGGCCTATGTCACAGTGGTCCAGAAGTTCCAGATTCTCATCTGGTGGTGGCAACTCTTCTGAATGGGTTGAATCAAAATAATTTTTCAAACAAACCTTGATGCCTTCGCAATGTTTCCTGGTGCTGTGCAGAAAACTCTGAGCTCCATATGCAACAGCATCTTCTGGAGCTGGGAATCACATCACATGTCAATAGGCAAGTGACTTCACAGTCTTAGAGGGACACTGCTTTGTACCACAAGACCATAAAAAATAAGAATAGGAGTGGGCCATTTGGCCCCTCGTGCCTCTTCTGCCATTCAATAGGATCATGGTTGATCTGACATTCCTCACATTCACTTTCCTGCCCTTTCTCTATAACCCTTGATTCCCCAAGAATCTAGTGAACCTTCTCTGAACTGCCTCCAATGAAATAATATCTTTCCTTAAATAAAGGGACAAAAACTGATCACAGTGTCCAGATGTGGTCTCACCAGTATTTTGTACAACTGAGGTCAGACTTGCCTTCTCTTGTACTCCAATCCCCTTGAAACACGCAAGATGATTAAGATAGATGGCACAGAGGTAGCTTTAAAGAGGTGTGAGAGGTAGAGAATTTTAGGGAGGCAATACCCAGGCTTAGGCACTGCCCTTTTAAACTGTTCTTGAGATGAAATGTTGACAGTCAACTATCTGTCCCATCTATTGAGGAGTTACTAACTCCCCACAGGAAACCTAGAGAAGGGAGAAGTTGACTTTAATGAAATTACTACTGAGTTTCCAACACTGAAGTTGATGCAATCTTTCTGTTTCTACCTAAAGCAATTAAAGCAGAAATTTCTATCACTAAATAATTTATTTAGACCATGAAATTAAGTTATGCGAATATAACCTGACAGGGTTTTAATGGCGCACTGACCTCTACATTGCCGAGGCCAGGCGCCAACTCTCCGACACCTCCTCCTACCGCCTCCTTGATCATGACCCCACCCCCGACCACCAAACCATCATCTCCCAAACCATCCACAACGTCATCACCTCAGGTGACCTCCCACCCACAGCCTCCAACCTCATCGTTCCCCAACCCCGCACCGCCCGCTTCTATCTCCTTCCCAAAATCCACAAACCTGAATGCCCTGGTCGACCCATTGTCTCTGCCTGCTCCTGCCCCACCGAACTTATCTCCACCTATCTCGACTCCATTTTCTCCCCCTTGGTCCAGGAACTCCCCACCTACGTCCGTGACACCACCCACGCCCTCCACTTCCTCCAGAACTTCCAATTCCCCGGTCCCCAACACCTCATCTTTACCATGGACGTCCAGTCCCTATACACCTGCATTCCCCATACAGATGGCCTAAAGGCCCTCCACTTCTTCCTGTCCTGCAGGCCCAACCAGTCCCCCTCCACTGACACCCTCATCCGCTTAGCCGAACTCATCCTCATCCTCAACAACTTCTCTTTCAATTCCTCCCACTTCCTACAGACAAAAGGGGTGGCCATGGGTACCCGCATGGGCCCAAGCTATGCCTGCCTCTTTGTAGGTTACGTGGAACAATCCCTCTTCCGTGCCTACAGTGGCCCTAAACCCCACCTCTTCCTCCATTACATTGATGACTGTATCGGCGCCATCTCGTGCTCCCATGAGGAGCTCGAACAGTTCATCCACTTCACCAACACCTTCCACCCCAACCTTAAGTTCACCTGGACCATCTCTAATACCTCTGTCTCCTTCCTGGACCTCTCTGTCTCCATCTCTGGCAACCACCTAGAAACCGATATCCATTTCAAGCCCACCGACTCCCACAGCTACCTAGAATACTCCTCCTCCCACCCACCCTCCTGCAAAAATGCCATCCCCTATTCCCAATTCCTTCGCCTCCGCCGCATCTGCTCCCAGGATGAGGCATTCCACTCCTGTACATCTCAGATGTCCTCGTTTTTCAAGGACCGCAACATCCCCCCCTCAGTGGTCGAGAACGCCCTCGACTGTGTCTCCCGCATTTCCCGCAACTCATCCCTCACACCCCCTCCCCGCAATAACAACCAAAACAGAATCCCCCTCGTCCTCACGTACCACCCCACCAACCTCCGGATCCAACGCATCATCCTCCGACACTTCCGCCATCTGCAATCCGACCCCACCACCAAAGACATTTTTCCCTCTCTACCCTTATCTGCTTTCTGGAGGGACCACTCCCTCCGTGATTCCCTTGTCCGCTCCACACTCCCCTCCAGCCCCACCACACCCGGCACTTTTCCCTGCAACCGCAGGAAGTGCTACACCTGCCCCTACACCTCCCTCCTCACCCCCATCCCAGGCCCCAAGAAGACTTTCCACATCAAGCAGATGTTCACCTGCACATCTGCCAATGTGGTACACTGCATCCGCAGTTCCCGTTGTGGCCTCCTCTACATCGGGGAAACCAAGCGGAGGCTTGGGGACCGCTTTGCAGAATACTTACGTTCGGTTCACACTAAACAACTGCACCTCCCAGTCGCGAACCATTTCAACTCCCCCTCCCATTCCTCAGACGACATGTCCATCCTGGGCCTCCTGCAGTGCCACAACGATGCTACCCGAAGGTTGCAGGAACAGCAACTCATATTCCACTTGGGAACCCTGCAGCCCTATGGTATCAATGTGGACTTCACAAGCTTCAAAATCTCCCCTCCCCCTACTGCATCCCAAAACCAGCCCAGCTCATCCCCGCCTCCTAACCTGTCCTTCCTCCCACCTTTCCCCTCCTCCCACCTCAAGCCCCACCCCCATCTCCTACCCACTAACCTCATCCCGCCCCCCCTTGACCTGTCCATCCTCCCTGTACTGACCTATATCCTCCCTACCTCCCCTCCTACACTCACCTTTACTGGCTCCATCCCCGCCTCTTTGACCCGTCTGTCTCCTCTCCACCTACCTTCTCCTCTATCCATCTTCTATCCGCCTCCCCCTCTCTCCCTATTTATTTCAGAAACCTCTTCCCCTCCCCCATTTCTGAAGAAGGGTCCAGGCCCGAAACGTCAGCCTTCCCGCTCCTCTGATGCTGCTTGGCCTGCTGTGTTCATCCAGCTCTACACGTTGTTATCTAGGGTTTTAATACACTCATCTGAAATTCCCCTTATTATTTGGACAGGTGAGCCTAACCCTTTTGAAAAGATTATGCCTCAGTGAGCTTGGTTCCAAGCTCTGGAATCCCAACCTCTGCTTTTGCTAATCTCTTTCCTGTTTTAAGTTACGCATTAAAAACAATCTCTTTGATTGAGCTTTTAACTACCTGCTCTGTTATCTCCTCCTCTAGTCAGTCTCAGTTTTTATTTTGCCGGAGAAGCACCATGAAAAGCTACCCCACAGTAAAGTGCTAAATAAATGCAAATGGTTGCTAATAAAAGCAAATGCTAGGAAGTCTGAGATATAAACAGGAAATAATCAGCAGACCTGGCTTTATCTATGTGAGAACAGTGGGGACACAGAGCATGGAAGTGGGTAACAGAAGATGGGCCCACTGACCCCAGAAATAGCACAGAGACAGCCATAACAGGGCTGTTGGTGCTGAGGTGAGCTGCTTAACAGACCGTCCTAACTGCTCTGGGACTTCGTCTCATTTAAAATAAAACAGGCATCTCGCTCTCACCCATCCCACACCCTCAATCTACCCCCCTCCACCATATTCTTCATACCCTATCCATGGCACCCCATGTCCTCCACTCATCTCTTATATTCCATCCATAGCAACCTACGTTCCTGTACCCATTCCCTGTCCCCTTATAGTCCTGATGCCAACTTAGTGCCAGCTCATACCCCCATCCCCCACCAACCATCTGCTGTTATACGTTTCATGCTAACTCAGCCTGCAACCACCATTAGCCAACTTCAGGAGCCATGGTAAAATGGAATGTAAGATCTAAGTATCTGTTACAGGCTTCACGATTAAAAAATAACTCTTATTAATAACACTTAATTCCTTACTCGTAAGGAAAACAAAAATTTGCATTCATAGCCCTATATTAAGGACAACAAATCACTTCATGACCATGTGGAGCTGTCAATCAAACTGTGAATTTACAGCCCCCTGACTGTGATAACAATAGGTTGTGGAAGCAGGGTGCAGCTCTAATCCTATAATGATAACCCTTAGGCTAATGTCACCAAACAGTGAAATAGCAATGAATGATTTTTCTTCAGCAGCATATTTGACCTTTCAGAAATATAAAATGCCTTGGGGTTTAAAAGACTTGATAGCTTGACAGTTCCATAGAGTTTATTCTTGTTTTATGTAGATTCATGTTTACTCTTAACAATTCTAAAGGAATGCCCAACATCTCGCAAAGAGCTCCTGACCTTACTCACAGAGATCACAACAGGAGGAAATGGTTAGCAAACGATTCTGAATGAGGCACTGCCTTGGAGAAAATAAAATGAAAAGGAAGTAGCCCCCTTTTCTCTGGTAATACAAGTTGTTGTGATTATTTGAATTTGGCATTCTTGCATTTGTCCTGATGGGTAAAAAACAAAAAAGGTTCAGCAACGTGACTCCCTTTTCAGCAAGACTCAAGTTCTGTTCTCCCAAGAAACTGTTTGAGCAGGATCACAGAGAGACAAGAACATAGTAGAGCTCCCTGCTGTCTCATCTCTGGTCAGTCCTGGAGGAGCAGTGAAAGGATCAGTCCTTTGGCTGATTTGAAACAAAGCCATTACCTAACTCAAAAATAAAGCAGAGAAAAGTAGTTGTGAAGAGACCATACTGTCCAAAAGCTGTAGCTTCAACTTGTTCCTTTGAAAAAATAAATATTTGATGAGTCTTATGTCTTATTCTCTGAAGAAGGTAATTCTATTTTCTATTAAAATAATAGAACTTTGGGTTAATTCTTTTGAATGCTCAACTTCACAGCAAATGTAGGACAAGGGAATTTACCGATAAAGGGACAAGGCCTGAATTCTCGTAATCTCTAATCCTTATGGCATGAGAACATACAAGCTTTTCCCTAGTTATTAAAATTCCGGTAAGATTCTATCGGGAATTTAATAGGCGTCGTCAGGGACATTGTCGGGACCTTCCAGTTTGTTTTCCACATCAGGACTGATAAATACCCAGCACTATCTCCCCAACACCTTCTCTCTACATCCACTGTGCTGTAGGTAGGGAGCTTTGTATAAGTCATAACCCCCTGAAACTGAATGTCTGCCCACAGCCCCCATTCCTGTCCTCCCCCAGCAAAGTCTAATCTCTCAGTCTGACTGAATAGCCCTTTCTTCAAACACTGTCTCAGGATGAAATAGAAAGATGGGAATGGGACCCCTGTGGCTGATTACATGGGGCAGCCATTGGTGCAGTTGAGGGATAGCTGGATAAGAGACCAAGTCTGAGGGAAGAAGTGTTTGGGAGGGGTCCGGAGTTATAACAACTGCACAGGGATAAGTAGGTGGGAGGCAAGGCCCATATGCACACACTCACTTAGATGAAAGTCATGTTTAAACTTCCTTATGGCCTCTGCTCTCTCTATCCTCCTGTAACTGTTGTACCTCCAACCCTGTCCAATCTCTTCTTCCTCTGATTCTGTCTCTTATCCAGGTTTCCCCCCGTGTTGTAGCCCCATGCATTCAGCAGCTGCACTCCCATTCCCTTCCTGAGCCTTTGTTCACCTTCCATTGCCCCACCATCGAAGCTCTTTCAACAGTCACTTCATTTCTCTCGCTCTCCAGGTGGGTTGTACTAAGGTTTACACCAGTACGTCCGATGTGATGACCCATGAAAACTTCCACAAGAAGAATGCCCAGCTAATCAACGATGGCTTTCAGCGCTTTCGTGCAACGGAGGATTGTGGGACTCTTGGCTGCCAGTTCTATGGACAAAAGACCACACACTTCCACTGCAGGTAAATCCCAATCCAATTCAATCTCCCAATATGTACAAAGAGTGACAGCTGTGACTCTCTTATTCACCCTTAGCAAGTTTCCAGACTAGGGCACGTATAGACCAGCTGTGCTGAATGGCCTTCGCCAAGATTCGACGCAGTCCTATATATAAGAATCTTAGGATGCTTTACTATGTTAAACGTGCTATATAAATGCAAACCGCAGTATGAAAAGCTTGGAGGAAGAGTAACAAACATCTGGATGTAAGCTCTCTCATGGAGCACTCTCAGTTGGTATGATTTGGAACATCAACAACACAAATTACCCAAATTGTGTGGTCAAGTCCCTCACCAGGACTAATATGTACAAACCAAAGCTGATGCTCCAATGCAGTGCAGTACTGAGGGAGTGCTGCATTGTCAGAGGTGCTGTTCTTCAGCTGAGATGTTAAACTGAAGTATTGTCTGTCCCCTTGGGTTGACATTAAAGTTTCCATTGCGCAGGTTCAAAGAAGAACAGAGAAGGTATCCCTTGGCCAATACTAATCCCTCAATCAACAACACACTAAAAAAAACTGATCATTCTCACTTTGCTGTTTGCGGAGCTTGCTATGTGCAGTTTGGCTCCCCATTTCCTACAACGGTGACAACATTTCGCAAGTACTTCCACTGGTCGTAAAGCAGTTTGAGACAAATAAATGCAAGTCTTTCTTTTTTATCCTCTGGTATTAAGTTAGGTTGTAGTGGAAAGAAAACCTGAGACACACATGCATTGTGATTTGTGCTCAGTGATGAGTGCGTGACATTGAGGGACAAAGAGGAGTTGCAATGTAGGGAACATTACAGTCTGCTCATTAATCTCTCCATTTTCCCAGGCGTCCTGGTTGTACTTTCACCTTCAAAAACAAGTGTGACATCGAGAAGCACAAGAGTTACCACATCAAGGATGATGCCTACGCCAAGGATGGCTTCAAGAAGTTCTACAAATACGAGGAGTGCAAGTATGAGGGCTGTGTCTACAGCAAGGCCACGAACCACTTCCACTGTATCCGGGTGGGCTGCGGCTTCACATTCACTTCCACCAGTCAGATGACCTCGCACAAGCGAAAACACGAACGCCGCCACATCCGGAATGCGGGAGGTCTCGGCCTAGCTTCTCAGCTGCTGGGCCGCAAGGAGAACGAACAGGATGACTCCAGCAATGATGACCTGATTGACTACTCAGCGATAAGCAGCAAGAACTCAAGTCTGAGTGCATCTCCGACAAGCCAACAATCTTCGGTACCGATGCTCCTCCCCACTCCCACCACAGAGATCTCCTCGACCCAGGCCATCAAGCCGACAAGTAGCGTCATCCCAGTGACCAAAGTGTCGACGATACTTCCGCAAACGCTGGCCAGCCCCATCCCGGTCGCCTTGGCACTCTCCAATGCTGGTCTCTCCAATACGGGCCCCTTCTTCCCTATCATTCCCAACAGGGTCTCCATGACCCTCCCCGTGACAGCAGCCAACCTGATATCCACCATCTCCTCCAGCGTTCCCACCTTGCCAACGGAATCACCTTCGCAAGTTGTCTCGGGGTCCAGCAACACAATCCCCCTGTCTCCAGCTGCTGCAACCACCATCATGGAGAAGATCACGGCCAGCAAAGGGCTCATCTCCCCGATGATGGCCCGCCTTGCAGCTGCAGCTCTCAAACCATCCAACCCAGCAGATGTAGGTGAGGCATAGGGGTTTGAATAACCCTGGTATTTTGTACTCATCGTAAGAAGAGCAGATCAGCCCCAACTTGACACTGAGAAACTGAGCTGAACTAGCCTCCTCATGTTCAAGAGATAGGTCAATGGGGGAAGTCTGGAGTTGTATCATTGGAGCTGGATTTGAATTTGAGCAGAAACATCTTTTAAAACCATCAGTAAGACCATCATTCAATGAGATTATGGATGATGTAATTCTCAACTCTGCTTTCCTGCCTTTTTCCCCCCTAACCCTTGATTATTTTACTGATTAAAACTCTGTCTAACGCAGCCTTGAATATACTTAATGATCCATTAGATGTCATGGGAGAGTCTAGGACCAGAGGGCATCATCCCAGAATAAATGGTCATATATTTAAGACAGAGATGAGGAAGAATTTACCCTCAGAAGGTCATGAATCTGCGGAATTCTTTCTTACAAAGGGCTGTCAACATATTCAAGGCTGAGACAGACAGATTTTTAATCAGTCAGGGAATCAAGGGTTATGGAGCAAAGGCAGGAAAAGGGAGTTAAAGATCATCAGATCAGCCATGATCTCGTTGGATGGCAGAGCACACTCGATAGGCTGAATGGCCCTCTTCTGTTCCTATGTTTTATGCTAACCTTCTCTCCAATAATACTCGGTGTATTATGCTTTGCTTTTCTGTCCCTTCAAATCTTTTTGAAGCAGGAGTTTATTATTTCATTCAGAACGGGGAAGACCATTTCGTTGAACTATCTCTTTCCTCTGTAAAAGTTCAAATATCTGGTCAAGTTAAAATGAGTTTTTCTCACTTTAGATTTTGCCTTCAATTCTGAGGTCTTTTTATTAGCTGGGTTACTGTTTATAAAGCAAATCTGGTGTTATTGTAATGTGATAACACTTAAAAACTGAATTAACAGTTCACCCCCAGAGGGTGGAATAAATCTAGGTGCGAATAGAAAGTCATGGAACTTTCTATGTCTGTGGTCTACCCTCCAAAAAAAATGAAAACCCACAGAATTTTGTTTCTCAAACTGACTGAAGTGTTATAACACAGAAAGAAGCCATTCCGCCCATCATGTCTGTATCATCTCCTCAAACAAGCATCATTACTTAGTGACAAATTCCAGCTTCTCCCCACCCCCATGCACACTATTTCTATCCAAATAATCATCCAATTCCCCCTTGAATGCCTTAACTGAACCTGTCTCCATAACATTTCCAGGCAGTGCTTTCCAGACCCTAAATACTCGCTATGTGAAAAAGCTTTTTCCTCTCATCGTGTTTGCACCTTTTGCAAATCACTTTAAGTCATTCTGAAGAAGGGTCACTGGACTCGAAACACTAAATCTGTTTTCTCTCCACAGATGCTGCCAGACCTTCTGAGTTTCTCCAGCAATTTCTGTTTTTGTCCCTTTCATTTCTTTTTCATTTTATGAGTGGGAACAGTTCCTCTCTACACACTCTGTCCAGATCAAAGTTTCCTCAAAAGTAACTTCTTGCGTAAGATGGGAATATGGAACAAATGCCTGCTGTCCTGTCTAATCTGCTAATGTTTGACAGTTCAGCCGTTGCACTATTCCAGTTAAAGGGGCAGTGACAGGAAGCTGGGAATTTCAGTTGAATGCTCCTAATAATGGGACCCAGGTGACTTCATCAGGGAACACTCAGGATTAATAGATGACAGTATTATACTGGTGGACAAAAAAAAGGGATAAGCCTTGGTCTTGCAGGAACTTTTATACATAACTTTGCAAATAGAGGCATTTTGACAAAAACAATAAAATGGTAATTGATGTAAATTTTATGTTTTTTTCTATTGTATCCAGTAGTGCTCTTATACACAAGTGAACGGATTTCTTAACCCCAGTCACTCGTGGTTTTTTTTTTCACCAATTAACCACTACCGGTGTTCTCCAATTGATTAACTTACGTGCAAGGCCCACAAAGGGCAATGCAGATCATCTGAGGCGAGGGAGAGGTAGGGAGAGATGGAGAGGGGATATGTCACTTTTACAGATGTTCTCATCAACCTGCTCAGAGATGTTACTACACACCTCTGGAGCAGGTGGGACTTGAACCTGGTTGTCCTGGCTCAGAGGTAGTGACATTACAACTGCAGCATAAGAATCCCTTGTGTTAATGTTTTATCAGTTGGGAGTTATTATATTCAGAAGGTAGGTCATAACTGGGGATTCGCATTGTATTACATAAATTTAGGTGCAGAGTGAAAGCGGTTTTTTTTAATCAAAGGTGCATTGTACGGAATTTGTGTCTCTGTAAATAAAAGCTTGTCAGCGATTTCCCCACCAATGATTTCTTTTTTCTTTGCTGTGCTCAGTCCATTCATTAAGTGTATGATATCTTTGAATGGTGCAATCTATGTGTGACCTGCACAGTAATGTCCGGGTACCTATGCACCCAAAGGGAACGTGCTCAGCTTCATGCGTATAGAGCAAATGGGGCAATGGATTACACAAGGCGACCAAAAGCTTGGTCAGAGAGATTGCTTTTAAGGAATGTGGTGAAGAAGGAAGGCAACGTGTGGAAGTGCAGGGAAGGAATTCCCGAGCCTAGGAATGGGTAACTGAAAACACAGTTTCCATTGATGGAGTGATCAAAATTGGGGATGCTCAAGGTGCTAGAATTAAAGGAGCACACAAATATTCCAGAGATTTATAAGGCTTGAAGGAAAATGCAGAGAGCAGGGGTCGAAATGGCGAGAGGTGGGGATGGGATTTGAAAATCAAGATGAGGGTTTTATGATCAAGGTGTTGTTTGACTGGGAGCCAAAATAGGTCACGCTCTGTGAATGGGACTCACTGAGAAACATTGGTGGCAGCATTAGGATGACTTCAAGTTTATGGAGCTTAGTACGGGGGCGATCAACTTTGGCTTCAGTTTACTGGGTAGCCTGAATTTGGTGGTGTCCATAGTAACAGCTCTGGGCACATTACAGGATGGTGATGTAACCCTGCTAGGTGACAGACTCACTCCTTAAGCACAATGTTCTATGTGGGAATTGGATTGTGCATACACTGCAGTGAAATGCAGTGTCTGCTTTTTTTCTTCAACCTTTACCCTTTGTTCACAACCTCTTGACTTTATAATTCCCAAGTGTGAGCTTGTTCATTTTCTAAAAACAAAAGGGAGGGAACAATTTTATGAGGCGAGTAATGTTTAGATATCAAGAGGAGCAGGCAAAAACGGAACAGCACTGACCTTGTGAGATTTTGGTGTTAAGATGCAGATTAACCAGAACGCATCTATCAAATTCTTCCCTTTACTGGTTAAAACAGACGTTAGGGTTAATCTGCTGCTCAGTGGAGTTCTGAATTGAACTCTTCACGTCGTTAGGTCTCACAGTGTAAGTTCAGAGCCTTTGAGAATTGGCAGAGTCAGAAAGTTTGAAACTTCCTCAATGCAGGGGTAGCTTCTACAACTTGTATAGAGATATAAATCCACACTAAGTAGGGTGGGGTAGGATGGGGGGAGCTGGTTGGGGAGGAGGGAGAATAGGTCACTGAACACTTTGCTTCCTTTCACTTCAATAGCCATCCTGAGAAATAGGGCAGGTTTTTTTTGGAGAAAAACTAAACTTTTTTCTGCCTGAGGCCAAATTAATATTTTAGTCCCTTGGGTATTTCAGATAAGGCTGGGTTCAGGCAATTCTATCAGCTGATTTATTCTCTTTTCACATGGCCTTTGTCAATACTTTGCTCGTAAATGTAATCTGTCCATCTGGGTAGGGGGTTGGGGGTGGGGGTGCGGTTGGGGTTGGGGGAGAAGGAGGGGGTGGGGAAGGGGTGGGTCAAACCTGTTTGAACTGATCTGTTTGGCTGTCAAGTTTGATCTGGCATGAATGGGAGATGTTCCTGTTGAGCATGCTCTGTGGCAGGCTGAAGCGTCTCCATGGAAACGTAGACATCCTGAAAGGAGGCAAAGGTTGTCTCCCACTCTGGAGCTGCCAGAGTCCCTCAGCATTAACATGATACTTAATGAATGGTTAAGAGGCAGGGCCACAAATCAGATATGACAACGGCAGAATGAAGCCTTTTCACCTCCCCCTCTCTCTCCTCTCTGACATCTCAAAAGTCCCGATGGCTTGACGTGATTTGGCAATAATTATCACTCCACTTGTTCCGTCGCTGAGCGAAAGTCAGAACCGATCTCATCACAGGGGACCAACAATGACTTGTTCTCTGCGTTTTGTCATAGCAGGAAATGAGCAGCAAACGCAGTTGAACCAGTTCAATCTGGTCCCACTCAAGCAAGAGCCAAGTGACATCACCAAGACCCAATCTCAAGACTCAACACAGAATCAGAGCCTTGATCTCAGCTTGAAGGAGCACAGGTAGGTACCTGGCTGCACTGACTGCACCAGTATAAAAGTCAAAGTCAATTTATTACTTTAGTCCTAACCAAAATGGATGCCATCAGGGCTCAGTAGTTAGCACTGCTGCCTCACAGTGCCAGGGACTTGAGTTCGATTCCAGCCTCAGGTGATTTGGGCATAGTAGGACTGCAGGTGCTGGAAGCAATGAGCAGGAAAGGCAATGTTTCGGCCCAACTTTCCTGCTCCTCGGATGCTGTTTGATTGGCTGTGCTTTTCCAGCTCCACATTTATTGACTGTACCTTCACGTGATGCCTATGTGGAGTTTGCACGTTCTGCCCGTGCCTGTGTGGGTTTCCTCTGGGTGTTTTGGTTTCCTCCCATAGTCCAAAGATGTGCAGGTTAGGTGGATTGGCCGTGCTAAATTATCTGTAGTGTCCAGGGATGTATAGGCTAGGTAGATTAGCCATGGTAAATGCAGAGTTATGGGAATAGGCTAGGGGCTGGGTCTGTGTGGGATGGTCTTTGCAGGGTTGGTGCAGACTTAATGGGCCGAATGCCCTCTTTTTGCACTGTAGGAATTTTATGATGAAACCAGGTATTGAGGAGAGGGCACAAGCTCTGTGAGGCTGTCCTGACATACTTGCAGCTGGTAATCCCAGTTCTTCACATATAAACCAGACAAGTACATTTAATCAACTACCTACACCACAGATAAAAGATCACCACCACACCCCAACCCCCCAAAACATCTGCTGCTCCCATTTATTATAACTTCCGCAAAATCTTTCCATCTTTTGGTTAATTGAGGTTTGAATCTCTTTTTGAAATATAGCCCATTGCCAGCCTGGCGATCAGCAGCTGTCCAGAATGGCAAACCTGAACCAACCACCTCACCACCACTCCCCTACTGCCAGCTGATGCTCCATTTTGAACCTGGCACACAGATCATCTTTTACCCCAAAGCAAAGCCCTGAGTGATAGACAGGCCATCCCTGTCCCTTGCTATCTCTGCTGCACAGGAATGTCACAGTCACTGTTCCTCCCAACTCCAGGTGAATTTGATCAGGAAGCTGGGCTGCATGTTAACCTGATCTCTGGTGCCTGCTGTGGTGGCCCCATGCTCAGATGGTACTTACACTGGCAGCTCCAATGCACCCATTCTCATACCAGCTTTGCCTGACCTCCCTTCCTGTAGCGGGGGGTGGGGGGGTAACGCTGGCAATCAATTTGCCCCTGGATATCTGTCAAAATTGACACATTTGGAGAACAAAGGCTCAGAAAACAAGACAGAAGGCCCCAAAAATGCACATCTCAGGAGCACTAGTTAGTATTCTGCTCATTGTGAAAACCTCTCTGTCTGCACACACTGTACTTAATCCCTCACTTCTCCAGCTCCACAACTAGCTGAGATCTCAACAATCCTCCAATCCCATTTATACATTCCTCACTCCCTTTCCCCAAGCATTGGACTTAACTCTCTGGATCCTAAGTTTGGGAATTCACTGCCTAAACCTTTCCAAACTCTCTCCCCATCTCTCCTTAATTAAGAAGTTCCTTAAAGCAGTTTTTATTAATTCATTCAGGGGACGTAGGCTTTGTTGTCTGTGCCAGCATCTGCTGCCCATTTCACATTGCAAATAGGGATGGGAAATAATATGATTCTTCACCTGTCATAAAGTATCATCCTTTGCCTTAGTGTCAGAGGTTTCAGCTGGCAAGTGGCCCGGGATGTTTCACGATATTAAATAAGAAGTTGCTATGACTTTATTGCCGATAACGCACAAAATTAGTTAAGAGTGGTGTGAAATGACTCCATTTCAGACTCTCTCACCTTCTGAGGGAGTCTCTGTACAACTCTACAGGCTGTTTCTGCTCATCAATGTGCCTGAGGAACAGTGAGTGACAGAAGGAGAGCAAAGGAAGTCTATAGACCTTCTCTATCAGATCTTTAACCTCACTCTGTTGACCCAGGATTTCCAAAATGGATGTGTGTATTCTAAATTGTTTGTGGGATGTGTGCATCACTGGTTCTGGTTGTCCATCCGTAATTGTCATTATGTACAGTTCAAAGAAAAATAAATTGATTCCAGATATGGAGGGATTTTCATATGTAGAGAAGCTGAAGAGGTTGTGCTCATTGCAGTTCAGAAGAATGAGAGACAATATAATTGAAACATATAAGATTCTTAAGGGTAGACGTGAAGAGCCTGTTCCCCCTTGTGGGAGAGTCTAGGACCAGAGCACACAATCTCAGAATAAGCGGATGTATTTTTAAGATAGAGAAGAGGAGAATAATGAATCCATGGAATTCTTTACCGCAAGGGGCCACAGAAGCTGTTTCGTTAAGTATATTCAAGGTAAAGATATACAAATTTTTAATCAGGAAGTTGATCTAGAGTTATGGGGAAAGGCAGGCAAGTGGAATTGAGGATTATCAGATCAGCCATGATCTCATTGAATGGCGAAGCAGATCTTTGGGCTGAATAGCCGACTTCTGCTCCTACGTCTTACAGTCTTTTGGAGCTTACATTCTCACTATTTCCATTTATGAACATTGAGGTGAGTGAGGCTCCTGATATGGAAGGGCTCTGAAATATTGTGAGATATAGAAACAGGCCAGTCGGTCAAAATATTTTTGATGGGGACCTGGTGATTATGACAAATTGATGACAAGGCAGAGAGACACCCAAAAGATCATCTTAAAGAAGCAGCTATTTGGTTTGATGGTTGATGCTGAAAATTCCCTATAGGATTCTGAATGTTGCCTGCAATTCTGTGGTCCTTATTTTGGACAGTTGATTTATTTTCTAGTCCCTTGTGCCATATGGGCAACATTAGCAAGATGCCAACCTTTACTGTCTACCCCCAACCACCCTTTAGAACATGACCTCACTGGGTGACAGTATCATGTAACCAGGTATTTGACAACATATTCACTATACTTCAGATTAAAAGCTGAGGCATAAACAAACAGTTTAGCTTGGGTCAAGTAGACTGTAATGAGATTGTAGCTGGTGTTTTGATTATCACACTGTGGGATAACTACAAAGTAAACACTATACTGCACCATCAAGTCACAACAGTCATAGAGAAATTAAAGTAATTCCTTTTCCTTGTTCCTGCAGCACTGAATCCAATGGACATGTGGATTCGGGACAGACATCCCTGTTATCCTCATTTCTCAATAAGGTAAGAGTTACTATCAGCATTTATACCCAGAGTCAAATTAGCAGGCTGCAGAGGGTGTTCCTGTTTGTTTTTCTGTTATTCCAACACCAGTTTTGGAGCTTGTGGTGTCGAAAGCATTCATATTTTAAAGACATTAATTATGTGCAGCACACTTCAACTCGTCATCCACAGATAAATTAATGCAATTAAATGGAGTAGTGTGTGCTGCCATATTGTGAAGTGCTGTGGGTTATAGACCGAGGCACATGTAACAGCTGCAAAACACTGGGTGTTACATTTCAGCTGCTTGTTGGGCGGCAAGGGAATGGTTTTGTCCATTGGTGAAACAAGCTAATTTACAAATGTTCTACCGTTTAGCATGTTCATTACTGAAACCTACACCCGGTCAGCCTCCAGCATCAAAAACTCTTGTTGCCCCTATCTTAAGCTGCTTAAAGCCCTGTTCCCCTCTCACTGACTGACAGTGGCTCCCAGTGAAACAACATTTTGATGTTATTATTCTCCTCTTTACTTTCAAATCCCACCAAGGGCTGGCTCCACCCTCTCTCTGTAATCTCCAGCCTCCACTACTACCTTTCAAGATATCTGTGCTCCTTGATTCTGGCAGCGTGCCCTTCCATGATTTGCCCAGCTACACTATAGACTGGCTGGTCAGATGGACTGAGCAGCAGCAAATGCAGTTTAACCCTGAGAAGTGATGGGGGTGCATTTTGGGACAGCTAACAAGGCAAGGGAGTACACGTTGAATAGTAGGAACCTCGGAAGTACAGGAGATCATGGAGACCTTAGTATGTATGTCCATAGAAAGCGGCAGGACAGGTAGATAAGATGGTTGAAAGGTATGTAGGATAGTTGCAGTTATTAGCCAAGACATAGAATACAAGAGCAAGGTGGTTATAATGGAGCTGTGTATAGCATTTGTTAGGCCACAGTTGGAGTACTGTTCAGATAATGTCTTGAGTGGTTTGGTATTTGATTTTCTTCATGGTGCTCCTGTGAAATGAATTTTAATCTTGAGATGTAGTATATCAAAGGTGTTGTATAAATACAAGCAGTTGTTGTAATTGCTCTGGACCTTTTGAGAAGACAAGGCCATGGAAAGTGGGGCCCAAGACCGGAAGGTCAACACCGTGAGTCTTCACAAGGTTTAGTGCATCAGCTGAAGGGAAGAGCTGCCTGAACTCAGTCAACAGCAAATCACTGAGAGGCTACAGGCCAAAGCTTAGGATGTCCCATCTTGCGTCAGGAAGGGGAAGAGGGTGCGTACCAAAATTCTTATTGTCAAGGATTGTTACAATGCAGAATGACGCCTTTCGGCCCATTATGTTTATGCCAGGTATCTGAATGGGCAATTCAATTCACTTCATAGCCCACCTTCTCCTGCATAACCCTTCCCATTCTTCCCTTTCAGACAACAGTCTAATCCCCCATTGAAAGCCTCAATTGAAGCTGCATCCACCAGAGTCTCAGGCAGCTCATTCCAGACCTTAACCACTCACTACACAATCAATTCTGAGGAAGGGTCACCGGACCCAAAACATTAACTCTGTTTTTTCCTTCACAGATGCTGCCAGACCTGCTGAGCTTTTCCAGCAACTTTGTTTTTGTTCCTGATTTACAGCATCCGCAGTTCTTTTGGTTCTTAACCACTCGCTGCTTGACTTATGCTTAGGTCTCGCTTTGGAATTTGATGTTTGTTGAATTATTATAAACTCTTATATTTCTATCGCTAGATGTCCCAAAACAGCAGCGGACTGAGCAATTTGCTGAACCTCAAGACAGAACCGGACTGTGCACAGTCTGATGCAGAACAGATGCCCTACATGAATAAAGCTTTGACCCCACAGAGACAGGAGAAACGACAGGAATTCTGGGAGAAATACCTGCGCAGGTAAAGGTTTCACTTCTACTTGCTGCAGCTCACTCAGTGGCTTGGTGGGTCAAATTAGACCATTTCCTGAAGCAGACTCCTAACAAAACCCTGACTCTGATTTAAGTCCACATTGTGTTTGTCTCTCTCAGCCCATATATCACACAGTGTTATAATTTGTGTGTGAATGTGGCAGAAGGAAAGCAATCAAAATTCCAGGTCTTGATTGTTGTCTAGTGATAGGTCAAAAGTGCATATCTACATTCATATCTGTGTGTGTGTGTGTGTGTGTGTGTGTGAGAGAGAGAGAGAAAGAGAGAGAGTTAGTGAGCATTCATGTCTTTGAGTTTGTCGCTGTGTCTGTGTCTCCATGGAAGTGTGTCTCTGTGTTTTTCTGCATGGACATGTCTCTATGTGTCTGTCTCTGTGTCTATGAAGGATATGAAGGATTCTTGAGCTCCTCAACTGCACCAGCAATGTGTACATCATTCCTGCAGAAACTAAATATTGAGCCAGTGCTACCAATTCCCTGACAATTTGTTATGTCTCATTTGTAGATTTACCACGGAAGATTACTGTGAGACCCAGTGTGACTTCCTACACAAAACCCATTTCCATTGTGCAGTAGAAGATTGTGGTGCCCTTTTCAGTACCTTGGATGGAGCTGTTAAGCACGCCAAGTAAGTGTCTATATGTCCATTGAGTACATATCCATATCTGCCAAGTACATATGTCCATTACCTGCCAAGTATAAATGTTGACATATACCAAGTACAAATTTCCATATCTGCCAACTTTAAATGTCCATATGTGTAAACTATGTGTGACCAGAGAATCAGTATATGGCAATGAGTGCTGATGGCATAGAGCATATAATTCAAATGAACCTTCATTGTTACAAACTAAGGAAACCATGGTCCTGAGTGCAATGTGAGTGACCAATTTGCAATGAACCTCCAAATCTGTCCCGATGGAGCTCGCTGAAAATTGGCTTACCTACATGAAACCAGGCAGCTACCTCAGGAGACCTTGACAAAGTCAGTCCTGGTCACTACATGATGTGTTAATGATCTAAAAAGGGATTGATTAACTCTGTGCGTTAGTTTATTTAAAACAGTAAAACACATTACAAGTTATGACGTAGACATTACAGCAAACCAACTGATTCTGTGTGTGCAGCTTGCAGACCTACAGCAGATCAACTGCCAGGCAGAGTCACAACATGGTCTACACACTTGGAGTAACGTACAGGCAATGGACCTTTACAACAGTAAATTGCAGGCTTCTGATTAGCATATTCAATAGGTTTGAAAGTAGGCTTGGCTCCTCAGACATCATATGCTTGCTAGATGGCAGGTAGGATTGGGTACAGGGCACCTCCTACTGAAATTCACTCCAAAATCCATTGTTTAGAATGCAAATTGGGATGGGTCCAGGATAACAAAGTCACTTTCTCCCCCAATGTTTTTTCTGCGCAGATTGTCAAGAGGTAGCTCTTGGTATGTGTGAGGTAAATGTAACCTTTCCGAAAAGAGACATATATTTGCAAAAAATTTTCATCTTCCATTCCTCAGGACAACTTTCAAATTTACATGTCAGCCGATCAGTTTCCTTTTCTACTGTGGTATAAATTGTTGAGATTGTTTGAAATTTAGTATTCTTGCAAATTGGCCTGATGGGTGCAAGTTGAAGATCTACAAGAACATGTCTCTCTCTTTTCAGCCAGGTTCTATTCTACCAAGTGTCTGTTTAAAACAAAACCTGGTGCAGTGCCAATAATTGGACAAAACTTCTCCCTCGATTACCCACAGAGCAGTGAACAAGAAGCAGAAGCAGAAAAAAAATCATGGGGAAGGTCTCCCTTATCTTCTCTGACCCTCTCTAGGCTGTGCCTGGCAGTTTTCTGTTTAATTAAATTTTTTAGTAACTGATCACATTATTGAATATTCTGTTCCTTATCAATAAAGTGAAGTCTGCTCCAATGCACCCTACCTGAGGCCTCAGCCCCTTTAATTTGATGCTGTTTATATTTATGAAGTGCCAAATAACCTTGTTTTGACCCAGGCATGATTCTAATTTAGATCAGTTATTATTTAAATAATTTATGCAGATTAAAAAAATGCAGAGGTTATTCAAGGTCCAATTACTTTGATGACATCACATGAAGAGGCTGCAATTTGTAAGAAATCTCTGGGATTTGCAGTCGGACCAAAGTGTGGGACTGATGGATTCAACAGAGATCCCCCCACCTTCACTGCAGGGTGGTGAAGACCCTTTTAATAGGCAAACAGCCCAAATAAAACACAACCTCAGAAAGTGAAAGTAGCACGGGCTTCTTTTGGGAACAAAAAATAATCGCAACTCAACTAGTTCTTATATTAGGATAGAGTCATGTAGAAATATACAGCATGGAAACAGACCCTTCGGTCCAACTCGTCCATGCTGACCAGATATCCTAAATTAATCTAGTCCCATTTTCCAGCATTTGGCCCATATCCCTGTAAACCCTTCCTATTCATGTACCCATCCAGTTGCCTTTTAAATGTTGTAATTGTACCAGGCTCCACCACTTCCTCTGGCAGCTCGTTCTAAACACACACTACCCTCTGCATGAAAAAGTTGCCCCTTAGGACCCTTTTAAATCTTTCTCCTCTCACCTTAAATCTATGCCCTCTCGTTCCGGACTACCCACCCCAGGGAAAAGACATCAGCTATTCATGCCCCTCATGATTTTATAAACCTCCAGAAGGTCACCCCTTAGCCTCCAACACTCCAGGGAAAATAGCCCCAGCCTATTCAGCCTCGCCCTATAGCACAAACCGTCCAACTCTGGCAACATGCTTATAAATCTTTTCTGAACCCTTTCAAGTTTAATGAAATGAATCTGAAGATTGCGAGGGATTTGCAGTGAATCTGGTTGGTCCAGTGCTGGGACACTGCCCAGGATTAAAATCTCAAAATTACTTGTGCTAGTTATCATTGAGGTGAAGGTGTAACATTTCTCCAGTTGAGTCTGCTATATCTGAAACAGGCTAAGGGCTCAGCTAAAAAATCAGATAGTAGACACTGGACTTTAGGAGTGATTTGAGGGTCCTTGAAAGAATGCAGAGGGAGATTTACCAAGTGGTTCCAGGGCAGTGGATTTTATTCAGCAGAAACTAAACTGGACTCATGATGTAAATACCGTCGCTACAAGAGCAGGTCAGAGGCTATCAATCCTGAATCAAGTAACTCACCTCCTGACTCCCCAAAGCCTGTGCACCATCTACAAGGCACAAGTCAGGTGCGTGATGGAATACTCCCCACTTTCCTGGATGAATGCAGCTGCAACAACACTCATAAAGCTTGACACAATCCAGGAACAAAACAGCCCGCTAGATTTGGTACCACATGCACAAGCATCCAATCCCTCCATCAATGTCACTCAGTAGTAGCAATGTTTACTATCTACAACTTGCAGGACAGAAATGCAATAAGGCTTCTTAGACAGCACCTTCTAAACCCACGACCCACTTCCATCTAGAAGGTCAAGGGCAGCAGATACATAGGAGCACCACCACCTGCAAGTTCCCCTCAAAGCCACTCACCATCCTAACTTGGACATACATCATCTTTCCTTCAGTATCCATGGGTCAAAATCCTGCAATCCCCTCCCTAAAAGCATTTTGTCTATCGACAGTACAAGGACTGCATTGGTTCAAGAAACAGATCGTCACCATCTTCTCAAGGGGCAATAAATGTTGGCCCAGCCAGTGACGCGCACATCCCATGAAAGAATAAAAGAAAGATTAGGTCAGAGAAATTGGTGGTGTTCTCCTTGGAGAAAAGGAGGTTGAGGGGAAAATTTAGTTGAGGTGACAAGGCCAAGAAGAACCAGTCCCAGTTGCTGATAGTACAAAGACAAGGGGGAGAAAGATTTAGCATTTTGGGCAGGAGATACAAGGAGGGGAATGTGAGGAAAACCTTATCTACACAAGTGGTATCACTGCCGATGAGATGATGATTTCAAAAGGAATTTGGATGGGCACTTGAGGGAAATAAACTTTCAGGACCTTGAATTGCTCTAAGCATTTAAGAACTGCAGATGCTGGAAATCAGAAACAAATAGAAACACCTCTGGAGAGAGAAACAAGAGTTCATGTTCAAAGTCCAGTGACCCTTCAGAACTAAAACTGCAGATGCTGTAGATTTAAAATAACAAAAACCCCTTCTAAGGGTCACTGTTTCTTTCTTCGCTGATGCTGCCAGACCTGCTGAGTTTCTCCAGCAATTTATGTTATTTACTGGAAAAAAACAAACAACTGCGGATGCTGGAGATCTGACACAAATTGAGAAATAGTTCAGGAAATTCAGCTGGTCTGGCAGCATCTGTGGAGAGAGAAACAGAGTTACGTTGAGTGCAGTGACTCTTCGGAACTAAAATAAAACAAGTGCAGATGCTGGAGATCAGAAACAAAACAAAAACAGAAACAAAACAAAAACAGAAACAAAACAAAAACAGAAACAAAGACCCCTCCTAAGACCCACTGGATCTGAAATGTTTTTTTCTATTTCTTCCCCCACAGACGCTGACAGACTTGCTGAGTTTCTGTGGAGAGAGATACAGAGTTAATGTTGAGTTCAGTGAGGTTTTTGTTTCTGTTTTTGTTTTAGATCTCCAGCATCTGCACTTAGTTTAGTTCTGAAGAGTCACTGGACTCAATGTAACTGTGTTTCTCTCTCCACAGAAACTCAGCACGTCTGTCAGCATCTGTGGGGAGAGAAACAGAGTTAATGTTTTAAGTTCAATGACTCTTCACAACTTTTTTTTTAAAAGTTCGTTATAATTTGAATTTTACTGCAGCCTGGCCGTTAAGGGCTGGCACGAGCTACAGTAACGGTTGCCTCGCGGTGTGACTCACGGCGTCTCTTTCTGGTTTCTGCAGCTTCCACTTTCGGGCAGACGGCGGGGCGGTGAAAGTGAAGTCGGAGCCTTCCCTGCCAACCACAATTCCCGTCGAGATCCGAGCAGCCGGGGCCGGGGCCGGGACCGGGACCGCGACCGCGGCCTTCTCCTCCGTCGCCATGGTAACTGCCGCCGCCATGTTGGCCTCCAGCGCGGGCCCTGCCGTTGTCACCGCCGCCCCGACGCTGCTCGCCTGGAAACAGCTGGCCGCCTCCATGCCGCAGCTGCCCGCGTCCACACTGGCAACCTCCCCCTTGGCGACCACATCCCTAGAGAACGCCAAGCCTCAGGTCAAACCGGGCTTCCTCCAGTTTCAAGAGAAGTGAGTGTGAGCCTCACCTGGGGCCTGGTCCACTGTGCCTTGGGGGGAGAAAAGGGAGCCCGCCGCGTTTAAATAAAGAAAACGACAGAAAACAAAAAAAAAGCTCTGCTCTGATGAACAGTCATCTAGATTAAATATAGCAGCTTGCTCTCACTCCACGGATGCTGCCTGACTCGCTGTGATTTCCAGCTTTTTTTGTTTTTGGTACAGATTCCAGCATCTGCAACAATTTGCTCCTACATCGAAAAAAAACCATGTGTTTTAAAGCAAACAAAAACAGAAATTATTGGAGAAATTGAGCAGCATCTGTGGGGAAAAGAGTCGATGTTTCAAGCGAAGTGATCCTTTTCCAGAAGTGCACGTTTTGTTCTTTTCAAAGTAATTTTCAAAAGTCCAACCCAGAATGTCAGTGGGAAATAAAACAAAAGAGACTGGGATGAGGGAGATCCGAAACCCAAAAAAAACGCAGAAATTGTTGGAGAAACTCAGCAGCTTTTGCAGCTTACATGGAGAGAAATCAGAGTTAACTTCTTTTGGTCTGGCGACCCTTCAAAAATAAGAAGGGTCTGAAGAAGGTTTACTGGATGCAAAACTGGAACACTGATTTTTCCCCAGATACCGCCAGACCTGCTGAACCTTTACAGCACTTTGTTTTTGAACTGACTGAGGTTGTTTTCCTTGGAGCAGAGGACACCAAGGGGGACATGATTGAGATGTATAAAATTATAAGGGGCATAGATAGGAAGACAGGAAGAAACCTTTCCCCATGGTGGAGGGATCATTGACTAGTGGGCATAGACTTAAGGCAAGGGGCAGGAGATTTAGAGGAGAGTGGAGGAATTTATTTTCACTCACAGGGTGGTACAAGTCTGGAACTCACTGCCTGTAAGAGCGGTTGTTCTTGACCCACACAGACTCAGAGAGTCATACAGCATGGAAACAGACCCTTCAGTCTATGCTGAAGATAATCCCAAACTGAACTAGTCCCACCTGTCTGCTCCTGGCCCATATTCCTTCAAACCTTTCCTATTCATATACTTATCCAAGTGTCTTTTATACGTTGTAATTGTACCTGCATCCACCACTTCCTCAGGAAGTTCATTCCACACGCAAACCACCCTTTGTGTAAAAAAATTGCTTCATGACTTTTTTAAAATCTCTCTCCTCTCACCTTAAAAATGTGCCCCTTAGTCTCAAAATCCCTCATCTTAGGGAATAGACAACTACCATTAACTCTGTCTATACCTCTCATTATTTTGTAAACTTCTCTCAGGTCGCCTCTCAACCTCCTACACTCCAATGAAAAAAGTCCCAGCCTCTTCAGCCTTTTATAAGTCAAACCTTCCATACCGAGCAACATCCTGATAAATCTCTTCTGAGCCCTCTCCAGCTTGATAATATCCTTCCTATAACTGGATGACCAGAACTGGACACAGTATTATAGAAGCTGCCTCATCAACATCCTGTACAACCTCAACATGACTTTCCAACTCCTATACTCAAAAGATCTGAGCAATGAAGCACGTGTGCCAAACACCTTTTTAACTACCCTGTCTATATATGACGAAAACTTCAAAGAATTATGTACCTGCACTCCCAGGTCCCTCAGATCTATAACACTATCCAAGGTCCTACTATTAATTGTATAAGTCCTGGCCCTGTCTGATGTACCAAAATGCAATACCTCACATTTATCCAGATCGAACTCCATCTATCATTTTTCAGCCCATTGAGCCATTTGATCAAGTTCTGTCTGTAATCTTAGAAAACTTTCTTCACTATCTATAGTGCCACTAATTTTGGTGTTGTCTGCAAATTGACTAACCATGCCTTCTATATTCTCATCCAAGTCATTTGTATAAGTGACAAACAAAAGAGGACACAGAACCAATCCCTCTGGTCATAGGCCTGTAGTCTGAAAAGCAACCCTCCACCATTACTCTCTATCTCCTGCTGCTAAGCCAATCATATATTCAATTGGCAAGCTCACTCTGAATTCCATGTGACCTAACTTTACTAATTAGTCTACCATGTGAAACCTTGTCAAAGGCTTTACTAAAATCCAAATAAACAACATATACTGCTCTGCCATTGATGGGCCGAAGGGCCTTTTCCTGTGCCAGAGACCAATATAACCCTGTGACTTATTCTACAGCATCTGCCATTTGTTTGATGCTTTGCCCTGTTCGATTGAGTCACTATATTCACAAAACACTGCATCACCTATTGTAGCTTAAACCAAAGCAAAAGGTTAAATCAACCGAAACTGCATCACAGCCCAGATTTGCTACTGGGAGTAACAGCACTAGTGATGGTTTTCAGCTCACCATGAGAACTAACAATTTGAGTGAGAAGACTTGGTTCATTTTAGTGAGGCAACCTGGTTGTGAAAGTGGCCCAGAGGAAATCTCCCCCTCATTCTGTGGCCAAGCCATGTTGGGAGTAATCATTCCCAATACCTGCAGCACTGACACCTTCATTCTTCCCTCATTGCAACTGCAGATGCGGGAAGTCTGAAACCAAAACAGAAATTGCCTGAGAAACTCAGCAGGTCTGGCAGCATCTCTGATGGGAAAGCAGAGTTAACATTGAGTCCAGTGACCCTTTTTCAGAGCACAGTAATACCAAACTCCCACAAAGCTACCATCTCACTTGTCATAAACCTATCCTACAGGCTTTCTTGCCAGGTTTCTTTGGCTGTTTTTGATGAGTATCTCGCAATTAAATATTCAGAAGCCTGAAGCCATTGTTTTTGGTCCCTCCGCCAAACTCCATTCCCAAACTCCTCTAGACTCCATCCTCCTCCATAGCAACAGTTTGAGATTAAGATATTAAGCTATTCAAGATCATGGATAATCTGATAATCCTCAACTCCACTTTCCTGCCTAATCTACATAATTCCTGGATAGCTCCTTCTATGACTTGGTCTGATATTTTGTTCTGCTGTGAAACACTTTGGGATGTTTCCTTGTGTTTGAGGTTCTGTATAATGACAATTTGTGTTGTATTGGTGCATTGATTACCTGGATGTCATAAGGGAGCCTGACTGCAACCTCAAGCTTGCGGGACTGGTGCTGGTTTTAACGCACCATTTTAAATTTGGAATGATGTCATCAAATCTTGACATCACAGAAGTGAGCTGTCTCACCAATGTGAACTAAAAAGTTGCCCATTTGTTTGATGTTAAAAATGATAGATAGCTGCGGTGAACATAGAGCAGTAATCCAAACTTAGAAGCTTGTAAAATGAGAATGTACTTTGTGACACCATCTAAGCCCCTTTGAGTGAACTAGATGTGTAATCTATTTTCAGGTATCTGTTATTGTCTGTACAACCTAGAGCTGTTGGCCATTATCTCACAGTAGTTATGTGATTGATATCATGAACTTTCTTGCATCATGAAAGTTTATAATATGCATTCATCAATGTCATTTCACAAGGATTCAAGGCAGCTGTGAATGTCAGAATGTCACTATGAATTTACAACTACCATTAAATACATCAAAACTGTATGTATTATTATATATAAAATACATTACTGGGAGGGATTTAAAGGCAATGAAAATATCTTGGGGGATCATACTGTTGTATAAATGGACACTTAGTTATGGATTTAAGATGCAGTGTGCTCAGAGGCTGATTCCCCCTTGCAGAAAATCAGGACCAGATGCAGTGGGGTTTCACAGATGTTTGTTTCGGAATGAAAGGGAGGGAAATTTATCACTCCAAAGATTGTGAATTTTTACAAGCCCCCACCACTCTGGGTGCTGAGGTTTTGAGTACATTCCAGACAGATCAATAGATTTTTGAGAGCTGAGACAATTAAAGCATACAGGAAGTGGAGTTGATCAGCCATTTTGTTTTATTCATTTCAAGGATATGCATCTCACTGGCCAGGCCACTGTTTACTGCTGATCCCTAATTGCCCAGAGGGCAAGTAAGAGACAACCACATTGCTGTGGGTCTGGAGTCACACATAGGCCCAGACTGGGTAAGGATGGCAGATTTCCTTCCCTGAAGGACATCAGTGAGCCAGATTAGTTTTTCCAACGATCCACAACAATTTCATGGTCATCATTAGATGATTAATTCCAGACTTTTTTAAAAACATGAATTCAAATTCCACCATCTGCCGCAGGATTTCATCCTGGGTCCCCAGAATATTACCTGGTTCTCTGGATTAATAGTTTTGTGATAATACCACCCTACCTTTAAAATAGTAGAGCAGACTCAAGGGGCAGACTGGCCTTGTCCAGCTCCAATTTCTATTCGTCTGTGTTTGTTGTGTGTCTTGAACTGGGTGTTTGCAGCGGTTGATTGCCTAAGAGGCTACAGCTTGCAGCAAAGGCTAATGAATAAAGAACTTTCCTGTTAGACTGGGTAAATCAAGCCTGAAAAGAAACCCCCGTACCCAAAGGTTAGTCTGTGATGGATTGTGCTAGCACACGTGACTATCCTCATGGCATGACCAATGTCTCAAGCATGTGTGTGGTTTTAGATCTGGCTCAGATTGACTGGATAGTTTTGAGTGAGGGCCCATGGGTAGGGTTCCAAGCTAAGGCTTTGACATTCAGCTGACTCATATTCTGACAGGATGGGCATCACCACTGTTTCAAATGCAAGTCTTGTCCCTTGGTTTTGTGTTTCACTCTTGCAATTTCAGCTCTAACCATGATTTTTATGCTCTGCAGCGATCCCTGTCTGGCGACTGATTGCAAATATGCCAATAAGTTCCACTTCCACTGTCTGTTTGGAAACTGCAAGTATGTGTGCAAAACGTCAGGGAAGGCTGAATCACATTGTCTCGATCACATCAATCCCAACAACAACCTTGTCAATGTGCGTGACCAGTTCTCCTATTACTCCCTACAGTGCCTCTGTCCAAATCAGGTAAGCAAGCAGTAAGATAATCTCTTCAATTGTGCAGGATCCACTCAAATGGTATTCACCATTAAGACCAGACCAAAGTGACTTTGAACAGGGATCTCCTCACTAGCACTCTGTAGAGGCAACAGAGGATTACAGAACATGCTGGAGCATTCCAGACTAAACTTTTTTACAGTCTCAATTCTTGGTGACTCCATAAAATATTCTAACCTCTGTATAGAACTTATATTCTAATATCTCTATTGGTTTAATTCTTTTCTTTCGTCTGTTCCTTGGATATTAGCATCGCTGGCTAATCCATCCCTGTATTTGTTTTAATTCACTCATGAGATGTGGGTGTAACTGGCTGGCCCAGTATTTATTGCCTGACCCTAGTTGCCCCTTGAGAAGGTGGTAATGAGTTGTCTTCTTGAACCACTGCAGTCCATGTACAGTAAGTAAACCCACAATACCCTGACGGAGGGGATTCTGGGATTTTGTCCAACGACACTGAAGGAACGGCAATGTATTTCCAAGTCAGGATGGTAAGTGGCTTGGAGGGGAACTTGCGGGTGGTAGTGTTCCCATGCATCTGCTGCCCTTGTTCTTCCAGATGGAAGTGTCTTTGGTTTGGAAGGTGCTGTCGAAGGAGTCTTGGTGAGTTGCTGCAATTTTGCATCTTGTAGATTGTACTTGCTACTGCTGAACGTCAGTGATGGAAGAAATGAGTGTTGAAGGTGATGGCTGGGGTGCCAGTCAGCGAGCAGTTTTTTTCCTGGATGGTGTCAGGTTTCTTCAGTGTCATTGAGGCAAATGGCGAGTATTCCATACACAAACAGGGATAGCTACTATTTAGATTAAAGTTGGGAAAGGTGAAAGTTTAAAGATGGCAACTCAAAAAGCTGCAGGATCTCTCTGATGTGAGACTGACCAGGTTAATTATATTTATGGAAACAAATTCAGAAACTGCTGCTGAAACCTATGCTGATGAGTCCAATGGCAAATGGACTCTCTACCTGTGATACCAGAGTCCAGGGTTCAAGCCTCACCTACTCCAGAGATATGCAATAACATTCTTGAACAGGTTGATTTGGAAAATGTGTTATAAATCTGTTGCTATTGCATAAAATTCCCAACATAATTTGAAATTTCAGTTGGTGATTTAAGCATAGTCAACAAATAATTTACAACAGGTCAAAGGAAGTTACTTAGTTTCCAGTGAAAGCTTTGTGTTTGGCTTTGATGATATTCAAATCCTTATTCAAATTGATGGCACTAGTTCCATCGAAAGTCACGGAAAGCAACATAATTTGTAAATTTCAGATGAAATCATAACAGATAAAAGTGGTTGATCATCAATTGCTGGATCAGGAGCTGAATCGTGGCACATGTGTAACTTAACTCCATTTGTCTCCCTTTGTTCCCCACTCTTTGACACCATTCCTCAACAACCTATTTTAAAAATCTCAGTTAACCCTCACCGTCCACGCCCTCCAACAACCTCCCAAAATCACAACTGTTAAATGAGGCAGATTGAAGGAGGGTGGGGAGCCTAGAGTTGAATATTTTCACTCCTTGTTATTTTCTGAAAAATTATTTCCTGGTTTTACTCCTGAGCATTTTTCCTCTCATTTTAAAATTGGGTCCCTTTTTTAGCTGGACTCCACCCTCCAACCCACCTTGAAGGAAATGGTTTCATGTATCTAGCCTTTAGAAATCTCTTTTTTGAATAATTACAAATAAATAAACAACCTTCTAAGCACAAGGGAGTGTAGATATATACAGCCCTGTCTTCGCATTGACCCACTGTCATCTGGGCGAAGCTGCGGGAAAGTAGATCTGATAGGGCGGCACAGTGGCTCAGTGGCTCAGTGGTTAGCACTGCTGCCTCACAGCACCAGGAACCAGGGTTCAGTTCCACCCTTGGGCAACTGTCTGTGTGGAGTTGCACATTCTCCCCGTGTCTGCGTGGGTTTCCTCCGGGTGCTCCAGTTTCCTCCCGCAGTCCAAAGATGTGCAAGTTAGGTGGATTGACCATGCTAAATTGCCATTAGTGTTCAGGGATGTGTAGATTAGAGGGATGGGTCTGGGTGGGATGTTCTGAGGGTTGGTGTGGACTTGTTGGACCAAAGAGCCTGTTTCTACACTGCAGGGAATCTATGATCTCTGATTTTTCTTTATTTGCTGATAAGATGTGGGTGTCTCTGGGTCAGCATTTGTTGTCCATCCCTAGTTGCCTTTGAGAAGGTAGTGTCTTCTCGACCCACTGCAGTCTTTGTGGTGTAAACATTCCTTGCAGTGCTGTTGGGAGGTGGCTCTAATACAAGATCAACTGTGGTCTAAATGAATGATGGAACTGGCTTGAGGGGCCATATGGCCTACTGAGCTCATGTTTCTGACGTCAGTGCTTCCCACGCCTCTTCCCAATGTGATCCCATTGTAGCGCTTGATAAAGTTTGTAACTCAGAGTCAGAGAAGGGAAGAGAGATACCTGAAAAGTGTGAAGTGATGCACTTTGTAAGAAGGAATGAGACAAGGGAGTACTCAGTGAATGGTGGGACATGAGGAAGCTCAGAAGAACAGGAATCTTGGGGTGCTTGTCCACAGAACCCCAAAGGTGGCAGGCTAGGTTAATAGGGTAGTTAAGCGGGCATACGAGGCATTTACCTTTATCAGTTGTGGCATAGATTATAAGAGCAGGGAGGTCATGTTGGAGCTGTACAGAACTTTGGTTTGGCCACAGCTGGAGTATTGTGTACAGTCGTGGTCTCCACACAATAGGAAGGATGTGATTGCACCAGAGAATGCAGAGGAGATTCGCCAAGATGTTACCTGGGCTGGAGCACTTCAGCTGTGAATAGAGGCTGGATACACTTAGGTTGTTTTCTTTAGAGCAGACAAGGTTGAGAGGGGACCTGATTAAGGTGTATAAGATTATGAGGAGCATGGACAGATTGAATAGAAAGCATCTGTTTCCCTTAGTCAAAGGATCAATAATAAGAAGGCATAATTAAACTGAAAGGCAGAGATTTCAAAGGGATTTGAGGAAAAGACATTTTCATCCAGTGGGTGGATTGTTGAGGCGGGAAACCTCACAACATTTAAAAAGTACTTGGATGAGCACTTGAAATGTCATAACATTCAAACCTATGGGCAAAGTGCTGGAAAGTGGGATTAATGTAGACTTAGAGCGGTCTTTGTCAGTGTAAACTCAATGGGCCAAAGGGGCTCTTCTGTGCTGTATCATTGTATGATTCCAGATGTTAGAACAAGTGGAGAAATGTCAGAGTCATAGAGTCTTACAGCACAGAAACAGACCCTTCAGACCAACCAGTCTATGCCAAACATAATCCCAAACTAACCTAGTCCCAACTGCCTGCTCCTGGCCCATATCCCTCCAAACTTTTCCTATTCATGTAATTATCTAAGTGTCTCTTAAACATTGTGATTGTACCCACATCCACCACTTTCTGAGTAAGTTCATTCCACACATGAGCCACACTCTGTGTAAAACATTTGCTCCTCATTATTTTTAAAATCTCTGTCCTCGCATCTTAAAAATATGTCCCCCTTGTCTTGAAACTCCCCCATCCTAGGGAAAAGACAACTACCATGAACCCTCATGTTTTCATAAACTTCTATAAGGTCACCTCTCAACCTCCCATGTTCCAGTGAAAAATATCCCAGCCTATCCAGCCTTTCTTTCTAACTCAAACCTTCCATACCCAGCAACACCCTGGTAAATCTCTTCTGGACCCTTTCTAGCTTAATAATATCCTTTCTGTAACAGGGCAACTAGAACTTGACAGTAGTACTCCAGAAGAGGCCTCACCAGTGTCCTGTACAACGTCAACATGACTTCCCGTATGGGAGACAGAGCTGTTAAGAGCATGGCAGCTAGAAAGCAATGGCCTTTTCCAACAATCAAGGATCTTGGGGAAAGTTGCCTAAGGACACACAGTTTAAGTTACAGATAAAAATAAAACCCTGCTCTGCACATGAAAGAACCGTGGAGACATTGCAGGATTGTCGACCAAATTCTCGACCCCACAGCTGCTTCAGTTTTCAAACCCAGTTGCTCTTATTGGCACCCCACTGGGAGTCATGAACCCTAGTTTGTGAACCCCTGTCGTATGTAGGTAGAGAGGAGTTTAATTAGGGACGATGGATTCACATGTTATGTTATGTTACATGATGGGTGGCCTGAAAAAGCCCTAGCAAAACTAGAGTCATTGGGAATTGGAGACAACTGTCCACAGGTTGGAGTCATACCTGGCTCAAAAGCAGATGGTTGTTAGAGGTCAGTCATCTCAGCTCAAGGACATCAGTGCAGGAGTTCCTCAGGGTAGTATCCTCGGCCCAACCATCTTCAGCTGCTTCATCAATGACCCTGTCTCCAACATAAGGGCAGAAGTGGGAATGTTTGCGAATGATTGCACAATGTTCAGCACCATTCGCTTCTCCTCAGATACTAAAGCAGGCCATGTTCAAATCTGGACAAAATCCAGATTTGGGTTGACAGATGGCAAGTAACATTCATGCCACAAATGCCAGGCAATGACCATCACCAACCAAGACAATCTGTCCCTTCCCACTATCAACATCCTGGGGATTACCATCTACCAGAAACTGAACTGGGCCAGCCATAAATATACAGTGGCTACAACAGCAGGTCAGAGCCAAGTCCCTGAAATGAGTTACTCACTTCCTGACTCCCCAGAGCTTGCCCACCACCTACAAAGCTCAAATCAAGAGTGCGATGGAATACTCCCCAATTGCCTGGATGGGTGCAGCTCCAATAACACTCAAGAAGCTCAACACCATCCAAGACAAAGCCCGCTTTGACTAGCATCACATCCATTAGCATCCACTCCCTCCACCACCAACATGCAGTGACAGCAGTGTGTACCATTCACAAGATGCATTGCATAAATTCACCAAGGCTCCTTAGACATCGCCTTCCAAACACACGACCTCCACCATCTAGAAGCACAATTGAAGTAAATACTTGGCAATACCACCACCTGCAAGTTCCCAATCACCATCCTGACTTGGAAATATATCTCTGTTCCTTCACTGGAACTCCATCCCCAGAAGCACTCTAGGTGCCCTTACACCAAACGGACTGCACCAGCTCACCACCGCCTTCTTCAGGATAATTAGGGACAGGAAGTAAATGCTGGCCAAGCCCAGCAATAAGTAGAAAAAAAAATGTCTGAAATCTGCTCTAATTTTTTAACAACCTTCTGTTCTGTTGCAGCAATGTGAGTTCCGGATGAGGGGACACTACCACTGTTTACGACCGTTTTGTAACTTTGTGACTAACATCACCACGAAACTCCCCTGGCACATCAAGAAACATGAGAAAGCAGAAAGAAGAGCTGCAAATGGATTCAAGTACTTCACCAAACGAGAAGAATGTAGCAGGCTAGGTAAAAACAATAGTATTAGCAAAATGAAATGCTTCAAAGCAAGTTGCATTTCTATATGATGTTTGACATGTTAAAATATTAAAACTCCTTCACCTTCAAGTAAAATTTGACCCTGATTCACAAAACAGATGTTAGGCACAGGTGACCAAGAGCTTGTTTACAGAGTTGGGTTTTAAGGAGCATCTTAAAGGAGGAGAATGAGATGGAGCTCCAGCTGAAAGCACAGCTGCCAGTGGTGTAATGAGAGAGGTCATGAAGGCACAAGAGGCCAGAATTGAGTGAATGCAGAGACCCCAGAGGGAATTTAAAGAAGGAGGACACTACAGTGATAGGCAGGGGTGAGGTCAAGCAACAAAATTTAAAAGTAAGGATGAGAATTTTAAAATCAAGGCACTGTTCAACTGGATTCGAACATAGGGATGGCAACAAAAGTTGGGATATGAGCAGTGCCCTGAGACATGTGTTACAAATAATATGAAAAGGAATTTTTCACACTAAAGATATTTTAGTAACTGACCCAGGAGCCAAGTCTGACTGCAAACTTACTTTACAAGAACCAGCTGTGTCCCAACTCAGTGGGAATAAATTATGGGACACTGCAACTTGGGGGATGGCAGGAGTGAGGTACATCAAGGTTTCTGCCAACCCTGGGAGTGGAACACAAGGTGCAAACCACAATCAACACCAGCAAACTTCAAAGATCAAGGGTACGAGACAGATAGACAAAAGCAAGACAACCTGGGCCATAGGACAAATGTATCAAATACGGGATAATCCTGAAAACTTTGGCTTTCCTATGTATTCCAGCACTGAGGGTGTCAGACAGTATCCCTGCTGACTAAAGGAGCCTGAAGCCTATGTTCAGAGCTGAATCACTGATGACTATGGTAGATAAGTCCCCAGGACGTAACAAGATCTATCTAGGATACTGAGGGAGGCAAGGGCAGGGATTGCTGGGATGGAGACAAAATAACTGCAGATGCTGGAATCCAAGGTAGACAAACTGGATGCTGGAAGAACACATTAGGCCAGGCAGCACCTGGAGGAAAGGAGCGGGTTTGTTTCATGGTGTGGTTGAAGGGCTGAATCGGTCACAGCAGTGTGAAGGGTACTCTTCTGAAGAAGGGTAGTACCTGAAACATTGACTGTTCCTTTCCTCCAGATGCTGCCTGGCCTGCTGTGTTCTTCCAGCCTCCTGTTTGTCTACCAGAAATTGCTGGGAACTTGACAGAGATCTTTGCAACCTATTTAGCCACAGGTGAGGTCCCAGAAGACTACAGAATAGTAAATCTTGTTCCTTTGTTTCAGAAGGGCAACAGGAATACTCCAGGAAATTAAAGGCAGGTAAGCCTACGTCAGTGGTAGGGAAATTACTGGAGAAGATTCTTAGGGACAGGATTTACTCACATTTGGAAAAGAGTGGACTTACTTCGGATAGTAAGCATGGCCATGTGTGGGAGAGGTCTTGTCTCACAAATTTTATTAAGTTTTTTGAGGAGGTGACAAAGGTGATTGAAGAGGATAAAGTAGTAGATGTTGTCTACACAGACTTTACTAAAGCATCTGACAAGGCTCCTCATGGTAGGCTGATCCAGCAGATTAAGTCACACGGGTTCCATGGTGAGTTGGTAAATTGGATACAAAATTGGCTTGGTCATAGAAAACGGACGGTATTTGTGGAGGGGTGTTTTTCTGACTGAAGGTCCACGTCAGTGGTGTTCCTCAAGAATCAGAACTGGGAACTCTGTCATTTGTTATATATTAATGTCCTTTAGGGAAGGAAACTGCCATCCTTACCTGGTCTGGCCTACTTGTGACTCCAGACCCACAGCAATGTGGTTGACTCTGAACTGCCCTCTGGGCAATTAGGGATGGACAATAAATGCTGCCAGCGACGTCCTCCTCCTGTTAACGAATAAAGAAAAGAGATGAAAATGTAGGTGGTCTGATTTGTAAGTTTGCAGATGACATGAAATTGGTGTAGTTACGGATATGTGCCTAGAACATACTGCCAGGGTGATGATAGAAGCAGATATGACAGAAATGTTTAAAAGACATTATTTCAGACATGAAAATGCAGGGAATAGAGGGATAAGGACAATGTGCAGGAGATGGGATTAGTTTAGAATGACATCATGTTTGGCACAGACATGGTGGGCTGAAGAGTCTGTTTCTGTGCTGTACTGTTCTACACTCTATGACTGAAGGAACGCTAGGCCCAGGCCTGAGCTGTATCCATGATAACTGAAGCAGCTGCGTCCTCACTTCCAGGTTAGCGATTGCTGATTGGATGTGTTCCTGGATGGTTATCACATACATGATCTCCAACCTTTCTGTCCAATGAAACAGCCCATTGCTAAAACCTTTGTAACTAATAAATCTTTAATGCTTTGAATAAATTGGAAGAACAACATGCTTTTTTTATGACCCCTTATGATTTTACCCCATTCTGGACCTTGCTTGTAACAATGCTTGTGAGATTAATCTACACTCCTGTAGGTCAAGGCCAATCTTGAACGAAGCAGGGCTCGAGGAGACAAAGTGAGGAAATGGGTAGTGGTTCTGGCGGTGGTGTTGACGGGAGGAACGTAAACTTACCCCCATTTATTTTTATAGGGGGAAGGATAGGAAGACAGAAATGTCCTTGCAGCGCATTTTGCTTTCCCAGAGGTACTTAATACTAATAAAGAGGAGAATGTTTCACAGCCGTAAGCAGCTAGAATTAATTGAGTTGCAAGCTCTTTCTCTACCAACTCCAGTCCTTTATATGGATTCTGGTTGCAAGACATTTTTGAACATGCCTGTGCTAAAGTCAGTATCTTAGTAATTAAAGTCAAGGCTGATTACAGATGTGACAGCTGATTCGCCACTTGATTGAAAAACAGAAGTTGACAGAAAATACTAGCGCAAAACAATACACAAAGCTCAATTCTCTGATTAGGACAAAGTATGCAACAGCAAGGAACTAGTCAAAGTACAAAATAACAAACAGAGAGAGTGGCATGTTGCCAATTATAAAAAAGATTTGGTTTGTAAAAGTAAAAGAGGATGTCAGTTTATCTTCCACAGTTCCCCACAGCTTGATCCCATAAACACCAAGGTTTCCAAGGCGTGCAGTTCAGCAAGATGTAGGTCATTCTATCATTGGCAAATGTTGTAAACAGACCCCCTGGTGTTACCTGTATTATCAGTGTGTAGAGGTCTCTTGTTCCGCAGTTACCCTTATTTACTGGTCTGTGGGTTTTAATGAATTGGGGACATCAAACAAAGCAACGTGATGACACATCATTGTTCCATAGGCTGGTTTCCATGGTGATAGGCGAGCCTGTACCTGCCCATCCTGACACTGTTTCTACTCTGAGATATTATCAAACTACTCTATTATTCATTTATTTTCCTTCTCCCCCTTCTTTTTCTCTCCTGTCTACAGGTTGTAAGTACAATCAGGTGAACAGCCACTTCCACTGTATCCGCGAGGGTTGCCATTTTTCCTTCTTGCTGAAGCATCAGATGACATCACATTCCCGCAAGCACATGAGAAGAATGCTGGGTAAAAACTTTGACAAGATTCCCAATCAGGTAACTTTTGTTTTTGATTTAAACCAAATAAATTAATCAGAGCCAATCTCTTCCCTATGTAGGAGAGGGACAAAACCAGTAAACAAACCAGTAATGCTTGGAAGTGAATGTGCTGGTCTTCCAGGACTTCCATTTTGAAGTATAACCAGAAGGGTTGGACCAGTATGTCTTATTCACCATCTTTACTGTTCTTTTTTCCCTTCTGGGAAAGCAGCCACTTGACCAGCACTCCATCCATGATCTTCCTCATTCACTCCCCTTTCCATTGATGTACAGTGGCTGCAGTGGGTACAAAGGTACACTGCAGTAATTCACCAAGGCTCTTTTGACCTGCCAAACCTGCAACCTCCACCATCTGGAAGGACATGGGCAGCAAATACATGGTTACACCGTCTCCCACAAGTTTCCCCTCTGAGACACCCACTGTCCTGACTTGGAACTGTTTCGCTGTACCTTCACTGTCACTGGGTTGAGATCCCGGAATTCCCCAAATGGCATTGTGGGTGTACCCAACCACAGGGACTGCAGTGGTTCGAGAAGGTAACTCCCCACCACCTTCTCCAGGGCAGTTAGGGATGGACAATAAGTACAGGAGTAGCCTAGAACATCTCGATTCTATGAACAAAGAAAGACACATTAGAATCTTTCTCTGGAGTATACTAAATTCTGAGGTTGAGAATTCATAAAGTCATAGAGTTTTTACAGCACAGAAAGAGATCCTTCAGTCCATCATGTTCACGCCAGTTAACAAACATTCAACTATTCTAATACCATTTTTCCAACACTTGGCCCAAAGCTTTGGATACTGTAGCATTTCAAGTGTTCATCTAAATATTCTTAAATGTTTTGAAGGTTCCTGCCTCTACCCAACTTGCAGACAGTGAGTTCCAAATACCCAACACCCTCTTGGTGAAAACATTCTATCTTAACTCCCCTGTCAACCTCTTGCCACTTACCTTAAGTCACTGTCCCCTGGTGATTGTCCCCTCAACTAAGGGGAAACGTTTCCCCCTATCTGACCTGTCTGTGCCCCTCATGACTTTGTACACCTCAATCAGGACCCCCTCAGCCTTCTCCACTCTAGGAAAAACAACCCCAGCCTATCTAGTCTCTCTCCATAGCTGAATCGTTCCAGCTCAGGCAGCACTCTAGTGAATCTCCTTTGCACTCTGTCTCGTGCAATCACATCCTTGCTATAGTCTGACTCCCAGAACTGCGCACAGTATTCGAGCTGTGGCCTCACTGGAGTCATATGCAGCTCCATCACAACCTCCCTACTCTTGCATTCAATGCCCTGACTAATAAAGGCAATTATCGCATATGCCACCCGATCCACCTATCCAAAACATGCTCATTTCGGTCTACGAATGTTAGGCATTTCAACCCAGTGTCAGCGTCAAGTAGTCCCAGGTCCTGGCATAGGATCTAATATAAAGTCCCCTTTACCCTGTGCCAACATCCCATCCCACCTCAGGTCAATGTCACTGACATTTTATGCACAATTTTAAAAGTCAGTGGGAATATTTTTAAATATTTCTCACCACCACCAGCTGTTTTCACTCCAAACACACATTGATTGAAAGCTGTTAGTTCTTAACTCACAGTTTGTGAAGTACCTAAATTCAAAGGAGAGTAAGTGAAGACTGTTCAAAAGACTCTTATGGTCCCTGCAAGACATTCATAATTAGGAGGTCACTCCAAATGAACTGAACAGCGCCTTGCTCTACTCTGCCCATCTGGATTGGACACTAAAGGTATTAGACAATTGCCCATTGCTCTCTGTCCAACTGCCACTGAGCCCACCTCCTCCCCGCCACCTCCAAACACGTGGCTGTTTCCTCTCGTCACTGACACTGAATAGGCAGCCATCAGCTCCTCATTCACAGCCTGGTTTCCAGACCTTGGCATAGGTTTTACTACAGCAACACAGCTCCTATCACACCAGTGTGGGCTGTAGCAGCTCACAGAGTACTGTACTGACACATTATCATCCTCCTGAAGATCAGGACTATGTGCTGGCACTAAGGAGAGGTTAGACACTAGTCAAACTGGACCCAAGCCAGTTAGTGAGATACAAACAGCTTCCTTTATGGATAGAGTTTATTGACTGCTCAGTCTTTCAACTCCCTATACGTGAGACATATGGCAATGGTTACCATTGGCTAGTTTTTTTTTTAATTTCTGATTTTTATTGAATTCAAATGTCACCATCTGCCATGGTGAGATTCAAACCTCAAGGCATTAACCTGGGGCACTGGATAACTAGTCCAGTGACATTATCACTGCCCCACTGCCTCCCACTCCCTATACACGTGTGCTTAAGCAATTAGTGGCTGTTATCTGTTTCTCCTTAACCTTAAATGAAGACATTAACAAACTTATCCAGGCATTAAAAAAAGCTGAGATAATGGTGGACATTGACAGTATACTGGACAGATCATCTTTGGAGGTTCTGGTTCAGTTAGGGCTGTCACAGCAAAAACATCACTGGAGAAGCTGAACTTAGCAGCTTAAGATAGAGTACTTCACAGACATAAAAAAACCTACTGAATACGGGAACCCAGATGATCCATTCAAATAGAACCAAGGAAATATGACCAGGAAATATTAATGATAATTTGTGAGAAAATGTTTCCAGTTGAAATTAGGAAGAATTTTTTTTCACAGAAGTGGTGATTGAACAACCATACCAACAGCTGTGTTCCACATTGCATGTGTAAGACCATAAGGCATAGGAGCAGAAGTAGGCCATTCAGCCCATCGAGTCTGCTCCACCATTCAATGAGACTAGGGCTGATCTGATAATCTTCAACTGCACTTCCCTGCCTTTACCCCAACAGCCTTGATTCCTTTACTGAGTAAAAATCTATCAATCTCAGCTGTGAATATACTTAACAACCCAGCCTTCATGTCCAAATGATCAGACAGCGTGATAAAGCTGCTAAAATGGGAGAGTCGGGGGACTGAGGGTGATCTTTGGGAGGGCCGAACAGCCACGAATGGGAGTTTCCTCAGAGCCAGTGGGCTGGTTCCTGCTGCACACGTGGCAGGGTGGGACTAGCTCCTAGGAAGCTGCTCTGGTCCCTGGCTCATTCATCCAGTTGACTTTTCTTTGACTACAGTTTTGCTTCTTGTCAGGGTCCCAGGAGCGACGATGCATTGGGAAGCGTGGCTGTTGCTACCGGCTCCTCAGCAATGAGTTCAACACCCAACATGATGGACACGGAAACAGACGAGTACATGGACTACGCAGCGGGTACAAGCCCTGCAGGTCTGTCCTCGGAGTCCTCCGTGCCAGACCGAAGCTGCACGAGTACGCCCATCGGAAATGAAAGCAGTGCAGCTGGTGAGGCATCTACCACACTGCATCCCTCTCCAATAGAATACTGAAGTTAACAGGCTCTGTACCGTCCTCAAATGGAGAGGTTTCTTAATCAAAATATAGCAGGTTCCAGAGGTTTTTGTGGTGCAATGATAGTGTCCCTACCTCTGAATCAGTTGGCCTGTGCTCAAGACCCATGTGCTCCAGCAGTGTGTCATAATATCTCTGGAACAGGCTGATGAGACACTATCTTAAAGGGTGTTGTGGCAGAGTGGCAATGTCCCTACCTCTGGGCCAGGAAGCCCTGGGTTCAAGATTCACCTGCCCCAGAGGTGTGACATAATATCTCTGAACAGGTTGATAAATAACTAAGTATTTCTGAGCAGGTTCCTAGAAGGACAGTGCAGCTTTGAAAATAGAAAGCCATGTAAATTGGACAGGCAGATCTGAATTATAAACAGAAAACAGTGACAACACTCATCAGGTCAGACAGTGTTGGAGGAAAGGGGAAATAATTTTTGACCGTGAAGGGAATGTGACTGAGTCAAAGTTTAAGATCTGTGACTGCAGAAGGCAAAGGAGTTAGACCATTTGACTATTCTGAGGCAAGGAAAGGGTAGAAATAGTAACAGTAAGGATGATGTGGAAGGCAGGAGAGACCATTTGTACCACATGCAGTCCAAAGAAATGGGAGCAGCTGTAATGATCTTAAATGGCAGAACTCGATGTTGGCTGTGTTGTGCCTCAAGTTAAGCAGACAAACGGATGAAGGTCTGTACTGATTAAAAGGTTGGGGGAGGGTCATACACCTGAAGCACAGGACCTCAGGATGCTTAAAACCAACTGATACCAGAAGCGGAGTAAAGCTGGGGTCCTTCTACAACATGGAACACCTGGTTGTTCAGGAATGAGGTGAAAGGGTGTATTTTGGCCAGGGTCATGTTTCCTTTGGGATGATGAATCTGTCCAGCATTTCAATGCGAGAGAGAGGGAGAGAGGCTGTACTGGTAAACGGATATTGTATTGTAATACATGACCTTCCCCAAAATATTTTCAGGCACAACGTGCACACGAACCACATCAGCTGTATATCTTGCATCGTTCTTTACTGTTATTAGTTTAACTTGACAGTTTTTAACTGCATCTCCATTTTCATCTTTTTTTTCACTGTGGTGCTTGGCTGTGATTTCATTTCAGTTTTGTTTTTGTTTCTCTCCTTCTGCTTTTCTGAATATTTCTTTAGGCTGTCCGGTTGCTACTGCTGCTGATGCTGTCCACACTGCACCATCTCCATCTTTTCCCCAAGCCCTGCTCACATCTCCTGCTCCCCCTCCTTCACTGCCATTTCTCCTCCCTCCATCCTGTCTCTCTCTACTCAGCGCGAATCTGGGGACCACCAGGAATGTTGTCATACCGACCAGCACGCCCGGTTTCAGCCCGATCATTGCTGCTCCCAGTCCGATTAAAAGTGATGTCCCAATAGTACAGGACGCTGCAGGTACTCGAACCAAGGTTTACTCACTTAACGGAAAAAATGACTGCAGGGGCCTGTTCGTTGTTCATGGTGAAATGTAATGGAAATGTCTTTTTAATCATTGCTTCCAGGCTACAAAGTAACCAGTGAGTGGCCTCTTCCTGTGTGGCAAAATCATGGGCAAGTGAAGAGGTCTTTGGTTGTAAAAGGCAATAAGGATTAATACAGTTCTATCACAGCCAAGTCTGTTATAGAGTAGTGCTAATGTCACTAGGCTAGTGATCCAACACCCTGACCTAGTGTTCTGGGGGCAAGGATTTGAATCTCTCCATGGCAGAAGGTGAAAATGAATTAAAATGGGATGACCATGTAACTACTATCAATTGCCATAAAACCCTGTCTGGTTCACTGATGTGTCTTTAGGGAAGGAAATCTACTGGCCTACATGTGACTCCAGACACAGAAATATGGTCGATTCTTAACTGCCCTCTGAAATGGTCCAAGCAAGATACTCGGTTCATTAGGGATGGGCAATAAAATGCTGGCTGTAACAGCAATGCCCACATCCCATGAACAATTTCAAAAACAGACAGGAATTCCTGATACAACAGAGCTACAATGAATGGTGTTCAGTTTCAGGATGTATTGAAAAGAGTGTAGGATGTAATTAAATCTGAGTCTTTGTTCGGTGCCTTGAAAGGTTTATGGCTAAACCTTCAGGGGCAGTTGCAAACAATGGGTTTTACCCATTGTAACCATGTGGAGTTGTGGTCAGATCAGTTGCCCTGTGAAAAATACCAAATCTATAAATAAGTACAAGAATAAACGCTGAGAAACTCAGCAGGTCTGGCAGCATCTGTGCAGAGAAAACAGAGTTAATGTTTCAGGTCCAGTGACCTACTTCAGAATGCAGATACTGCCTGACCTGCTGAGTTCTTCCCACTTTCTTTTTTCTTACCTTTGACATCCATAATCTATCAACTTTTTTGATTCATTCGTGGGATGTGGGTGTCGCTGGCTGGACCAGCGCTTATTGCCCATCCCTGATTATCACATAGAATGTGATGGTGAGCAGCTTTCATGAACTGCTGCAGTTCTTGGGATGCTTTGTTAACGAGCAGTACAGGCAGATCATAGTAAGCAAGGACATACTGATCGTACAGTATTAAAAAAACTAGACAGAGGCATTCAAGCTACGTTGCACAAGGGTGTGCGCTAAGCAAGATCAACATTAGCAAGATCAGCATTATTTAAAGTTAAAGAGTCCGTTCATCAGTCTAATAACAGCTGGGAAGAAACTGTCCTTGAACCTGCTCGTGCGTGTGTTCAAGCTTCTGTTTCTTCTGCCTGACGGAAGAGGTTGTAGGAGAGCATTACTGAGGTGTGATGGGTGTTTGATGATGCTGGCCACCTTTCTGCGGCAATGAGCCGTGTAAATGGAGTTCATGGATCGAAAGTCAGCTTCCATGATGGTCTGCGCTGTGCACAACACCTTCTGTAGTTTCTTATGGTCCTGGCAGAGCAGTTGCTATACCAGGCCGTTATGCACCGGGACAGCATGCTTTCAATGGTGCATCTATAAAAGTTGGTGAGAGACCTTGCGGACATGCCAAATTTCCTGAACTGCCTGAGGAAGAAGAGGTGTTGTTGTGCCTTCTTGACAGTCGTATCTATGTGGGAAGTCCAGGACAGGTCAGTTATTGTCACTCCCAGGAACATGATGCTCTCTACCCTCTCAGCTTTGAGGCCAGATTTAGAGGAGAGTTATGGTGCTGGAGGAGTTTATGGAGATGGAGGCAATGTTGTTCTGCTAGGAGGATTGGAAGCCGAGGATGAGAATTTTAGACATTGCTCAAATTGGGAGCCAGTATAGTTGGCAAGCAGAGGGGATACTTCCTGAATGTAGACTTGCGGAGAATTAATATAGAGCCTCTGTCAGAGCTGACACGGGAAATGACACAGAAACTTGCTCAATCTACACCAATGACCACATCCCTAGGGTTTAACTTGGCACACAGCAAGACCATTAGACCCAAAACATAGGAGCAGAATAACAATCCTCACCACCATTCAATTAGGTCATGGCTGATCTGATTATCCTCGACTGCACTTTTTTGCCTTTTCCCCATGCCCTTGACTCCCTTACTGAGTAAAAATCTGTCTGCCTCAGCGTTGAATATATACATTGACCCAGCCTAGACAGCCCTCTGTGATAAAGAATTCCACAGATTCACTACCCTCTTGGAGAAAAAAAAATCCCCCTCATCTCTGTCTTAAATTACTCTGAGATTATGCCCTCTGATCCAAGACTCTCACACAATTTCCCTGCCAAAGTCCCCTAAGAAACTTGTTTGTTTCAATGAATCATGTGTCATTCTAAATTTCAATGAATATTGGGCCAACCTACTCAACCTCTCCTCATAAGACAGTCCCTTCATACCTGGTATCAGCTGAGTGAGCTTTCTGATCCTAGTGAACCTCCAATGCCAGTATAGCTTTCTTTGGGTAAGGGGACCAAAACTGCTTCCAGCATTCCAGTGTAGACTGACTAGCACCTTCTGTAGTTTCAGCTCTGGGAATTCAGGGTTAATTCTTCACAGAGAGTGTGATTACTATGTGGACTGGTTTATCATATAGAGTAATGGAGGCACAACCTCTGCATCACTCAAGAAGTAATCAGTGTGAATTATAAAACCCTTTCGATGGGATGAATCATCTCCTTCTGTTGCTTTGTGTAAGTTTCTATGGGACGATGAATTCAATGGGGAAACTGGGCTCCATCTTCTGTGCTAAACTTTATCGTTGCGTTAAAATGTTAGACACTGTTAGACAAAGGCCATTATTTTTCATTCTAACATCGACAAGATCCTTAATGAGAAGAAAATGCCAACTGAAACCTTTCACACAATCTGAACTATGTGGGTTATCTTGTACAACAACGTAACAAATATGGACTAGTCCACACCAAGAGGACAATGTGACTGCAACAGGACAACACGACAGAAATATCCAGGGCCTGTTTCCATGTTGTATCATTCTACGACTCTAAAATGCAAAGTCATTATTACAATCTAGAACATTCGTCTGATACCCAATATGTCTTTGCTCAGTGTGACACAATTCAATCCTGACAGAACACTGGGCAAGTACCAATGGAGTGAGACACAAAAGACCGCAAATATGATCGGTGGTAGGAGTGATGTGGTTGGGTAGGGCTACAAAGGTATGTAGACTGGGTAAGGGGAAAATAGTCTGCAAGAGCTGCTATTTGTTAGAGGCAATATAAAGAATCTGCTGATAGTTCTGCTACATGTCAGTAGAGAAAGACTTTGTCTTGTCCTTGATCCAGTGCCGAATGCCTGAAGGTGTATGGTCACCCACTCCAGGTTATCTTGAGAGTATTAGCTGATGCTGTGTGTACACTAAGGTAGAACTAATACTGAGGGGCCTTCCCAACTATCTTTTTTTGTTGGATTTCTTTATCCAGTTTTCTTTCATTCTGCAGTAAATGTGGGTTTTGACTCTGCTTCACCCAATCTGGTGAAATTTT